TGCAGTCGGGGATTCCCCAGCCCACAGACGCAGAGAGAGAAAAGGTTATTCTGGCAGGAAATACCAGGAGCTAAAGCTGGGGTACGCAACTTTTCAAGCCACATCTGTGTAATCAAACCCACGTCACGAGTTCCTGGCATTAACACATGAAACGACAAAGGAAACTGTCTCATGATCACTCCAACTGGATGAGAATACTGTGAAGTGTGTCTTTTTTTGTGTTTTTTTGTTTTTAAAGTTGGGGAATGTAACTTTCACACCTCAACAATAGGACGGTGAAGTAAAACCCGTGTCACTAGTTCCCGGCTCTAAAACAGTTTTGTGTTTTTAGATCAGATTTTTCAGACAGAAAGGTGAAGAAGACAGGACCAGCCTCTCTCGGCCAATCAGCTCTCAGCTCAAAGGGTCGAATAATGACTCACAGGGATTTTTCTCAATAATGAATAACAGTTTTTATAATAATTGTACCTATAGTCACATGCAGCAGCAGCGTTTGTAACAGGAGCTGGGATCTTCCAGAGCCAATGTGTTTCTAAATAAATAATGATAATAATAATAATAACAATAATAAGGATAATAATATTAATAATGATAATAATAATAATAATGATAATAATAATAATAATGATAATAATAATATTAATAATGATAATAATATTAATATTAATAATTATAATAATATTAATAATGATAATAATAATAATGATAATAATAATGTATCGGTTTTATATAGTGCTATTTTTTTGGACGCTCAAAGATGCGTCACATGTCATTATTCTTTTACTCCAAACACAATGGTGAGTTTTTTTGTATAGCACAATTCATATACAAGGCAACTCAAAGTGCTGAACAAAACAAGGTAGTAACAGTCACAGAAGGCTTTGAAATCATAAATAACCCCATGCAATAAAAATAAAAATATAAAATCCCTCAGTAGCCACAGCTGCCCTGGGGCACACGGACAGATGCGAGGCAACCAGTCTGTGCCATCGGCCCCTCCCACCACCACCAACCATTCACACACACACCAGACTCTAATGTGGGGAAATTATTATTATTATTTCATTTAGGGATAATTCTGATCTATGTTCAATTTTATATTATTTATTTTTAATTATGCTTTTGTTTTGTGTTTATTTATACATTTGTTTTTCAGTATCTTGTTTTGGTTTCGTTTTGTAACTCCTCCTTTACCAAATGAAATTGAAAGTGTCTTTCTCAAGGACACAACAGTCACTTGATAACCGCCCCACTGTGGCCCCTGTTGTTCCCAGAGGTCTCCCATCACAGCACTAACCAGGCCCTGCCCCGCTTAGCTTCACTCATGTTGTTCTGAAACTAAATAAAAAATAAAACCGCAAGAAAACGAGTCCAGACCAGAATGCAGCGATATCCCAACATGGCCCCGGATCAAATCATCACCCTCCCCTCCCTGGTATTTACTTGGTCTCTGGTTTTCAGTGAGACCATGTGAGACACCAGAGGGAGAGACCAGAGAGAGAGACCAGAGAGAGAGACAAGAGAAAGACCAGAGAGAGACCAGGGGGAGAGAGAGACCAAAGAGAGAGAGACCAGAGAGAGACCAGATGGAGAGACCAGGGAGAGAGATCAAAGAGAGAGACCAGAGAGAAAGACCAGAGAGAGACCAGGGGGAGAGAGAGACCAAAGAGAGAGAGACCAGAGAGAGACCAGAGGGAGAGACCAGAGAGAGAGATCAAAGAGAGAGACCAGAGAGAGAGACACCAGAGAGAGACCAGAGAGAGAGACCAGAGGGAGAGACCAGAGAGAGAGACACCAGAGAGAGACCAGAGAGAGAGACAAGAGAGAGAGACCAGAGGGAGAGACCAGAGAGAGATACACCAGAGAGAGACCAGAGGGAGAGACCAGAGAGAGAGACCAGAGAGAGAGATCAAAGAGAGATACCAGAGAGAGACCAGAGAGAGAGACACCAGAGAGAGACCAGAGAGAGAGACCAGAGAGAGAGACACCAGAGAGAGACCAGAGAGAGAGACAAGAGAGAGAGACCAGAGGGAGAGACCAGAGAGAGATACACCAGAGAGAGACCAGAGGGAGAGACCAGAGAGAGAGACCAGAGAGAGAGATCAAAGAGAGACACCAGAGAGAGACACCAGAGAGAGACCAGAGAGAGAGACAAGAGAGAGAGACCAAAGAGAGAGATCAGAGAGAGACACCAGAGAGATCAGAGTGACTCAGATGTTTACGTTTTGTAAAAAGCTGAGTGTGAGGTTTTTCAGTGAGTTTCTGGACAGTTTGAGTCTGGTCTGGGTCTGGTCTGGGTCTGAGTCACGTCTCTGCAGCGAAAGGGAAAGAGACCGAAGACGTTTCACTTTGAGTTAAAGGCTGACTCCAAATAAAACTTTTATCAGAACCAAAACACACACTCATGTTTTAAGAGTGTTTTTTTTTTTTATATCTGAACAAATGCTAGCATCATAAGCACGAAATGAAAATGAAAGTGTCTTGCGTAAGGACACAACAGTTTGTCATTTCGCAGCCGCCCCACTGTGGCCCCTGTAGTTGCCAGAGGTCTCCCATCACATCACTAACCAGGCCCTGCCCCTGCTTAGCTTCACTCATGTTGTTCTGAAAACTAAATTAAAAATAAAACCGCATGAAAACGAGTCCAGACCAGAATGCAGCGATATCCCAACATGGCCCCGGATCAAATCATCACCCTCCCCTCCCTGGTATTTACTTGGTCTCTGGTTTTCAGTGAGACCATGTGAGACACCAGAGAGAGAGACCAGAGAGAGAGACCAGAGGGAGAGACCAGGGGGAGACCAGAGGGAGAGACCAGGGAGAGACCAGAGATAGACCAGAGAGAGACCAGGGAGAGACCAGAGAGAGACCAGAGATAGACCAGAGAGAGAGACCAGAGATAGACCAGAGATAGACCAGAGATAGACCAGAGAGAGACCAGAGAGAGACCAGAGAGAGACCAGAGAGAGAGAGTTAAGTTTATGTTCAAACAAAAAGTTCTGTCAGCCTCATGCTAGCATCATAAGCTACATGTAGTTTGTTTTCATGTATTTGGTGAAAGTACTGCAGTAGTAGAGTAATGCTTTATAATTCAGAGACAGTAATATGGCAGTAACACAGTACTTTGAAACAACAGTAACAAGTACATGATGTATTTTTGAAGTAACTTGCCAACACTGCTCGTGACATGGATTTTATTAAAGTTGAATTGTTGAGGTTTGAAAGTTACGTAGCCGAGCTTTAAACTGTTTGTTTTTTCCGTATTTTTTTTTTTTTCAGTCAAAGCAGAGTCTCATAAAAACAGCTCTTCGTGTCTGTCACTGCTCAAGAATTCACCTCAGCCTGAAGCCTGAAACTCAATCTGCTGCAGAGAATGTGTCAGGGGAGAGGAGGAGGAGCAGGAGGAGGAGGAGGAGAGAGGAGGAGGAGCAGGAGGAGGAGGAGAGAGGAGGAGGAGCAGGAGCAGGAGAGAGCAGGAGGAGGAGCAGGAGAGAGGAGGAGGAGGAGGAGGAGAGAGGAGGAGGAGCAGGAGAGAGGAGGAGGAGGAGAGAGGAGGAGGAGCAGGAGCAGGAGAGAGCAGGAGGAGGAGCAGGAGGAGGAGGAGAGAGGAGGAGGAGCAGGAGAGAGGAGGAGGAGCAGGAGGAGGAGGAGGAGAGAGGAGGAGGAGGAGCAGGAGGAGGAGGAGAGAGGAGGAGGAGGAGCAGGAGGAGGAGAGAGGAGGAGGAGGAGGAGCAGGAGAGAGGAGGAGGAGGAGAGAGGAGGAGGAGAGAGGAGGAGGAGGAGCAGGAGAGAGGAGGAGGAGGAGAGAGGAGGAGGAGCAGGAGAGGAGGAGGAGCAGGAGAGAGGAGGAGGAGCAGGAGGAGGAGGAGAGAGGAGGAGGAGGAGAGAGGAGGAGGAGCAGGAGAGAGGAGGAGGAGCAGGAGGAGAGAGGAGGGGGGAGGAGCAGGAGGAGGAGAGAGGAGGAGGAGGAGCAGGAGGAGGAGAGAGGAGGAGGAGGAGCAGGAGAGAGGAGGAGGAGGGGAGAGGAGGAGGAGCAGGAGGAGGAGGAGAGAGGAGGAGGAGCAGGAGGAGGAGGAGCAGGAGGAGGAGGAGGAGAAGGAGCAGGAGAGAGCAGGAGGAGCAGAGAGGAGGAGCAGGAAAGAGGAGGAGAGAGCAGGAGAGAGGAGAAGAGAGGAGAAGAGAGGAGAAGGAGAGAGAAGGAGACCAACCATTCACACACACACCAGACTCATTCTAATGTGGGGGAAGTGTCTTGCCTAAGGACACAGCCACAGTTTGGCACTTAACAGCCGCCCCACTGTGGCACCTGGTGTTCCCAGAGGTCTCCCATCACAGTACTAACCCGAGCCCTGCACTGCTTAGCTTCAGAGGTCTGACAGGCTCTTTCAAGGGCTCCAAACAGACCTCATTCCTCCTGCGTTCAGAATGAAACTTGCAGGTCGTAAATCACGGCGTCATTATGTTTCTGCAGTTTTTTTAACTCTTTCACACACTGCAACAAGTGACAAAAATAAGTTAAAAAATATGCTAATTTGGCAAAAATGTGTCTTGATTTGAGCACATCTGACCAGAGAGAGAGACCAGAGAGACACCCGAGAGAGAGACCCGAGAGAGACCCAAGAGAGAGTCCAGAAAGAGTAACAGTTCTTGATAAAAACCTAAATGACTTTGTTTTTACGTCACAATAACCTCAGATTTAGACAAAAACAGTGGATTCTTGGATCATTTTTTGCAGTGCAGCAGAGTCGGGCGTTTGTGGCTGATTTAAAGAGTTCATTTGTACAGACAGACCCCGCAGAGGCCGGGTCTAGGGGCCAGGGTCCAGGGTCCAGGGGTCAGGGGTCCCAACATCACATAATGAAACATACAAAGGGACAGTGGGTGAATAGTAATGAATGAGAGCAGAGGATATGGCTGTAGTTACCATCCTTCTCCAGCAGGGGTCTCCACTGATAATCTGTGTTTTTTTTGGGATGTTTTAAGATTTATGAACTCTGTGCATGAAAAAGAGGTTCTTAATCTCACTGGGACTTTCCTGGTTAAAAAAGTCGCCTCAGTCTTCTCAGTCCCCTCAGTCCCCTCAGTCGCCTCAGTCGCCTGAGTTCCCTCAGTCTTCTCAGTCCCCTCAGTCGCCTCAGTCCCCTCAGTCTTCTCAGTCTTCTCAGTCTCCTCAGTCGCTTCAGTCCCCTCAGTCCCCTCAGTCCCCTCAGTCGCCTCAGTCTTCTCAGTCCCCTCAGTCTTCTCAGTCTTCTCAGTCTCCTCAGTCCCCTCAGTCACCTCAGTCGCCTCAGTCCCCTCAATCGCCTCAGTCCCCTCAGTCCCCTCAGTCTTCTCAGTCTCCTCAGTCTTCTCAGTCCCCTCAGTCTTCTCAGTCCCCTCAGTCTTCTCAGTCCCCTCAGTCTTCTCAGTCCCCTCAGTCTTCTCAGTCCCCTCAGTCTTCTCAGTCCCCTCAGTCTTCTCAGTCCCCTCAGTCGCCTCAGTCTTCTCAGTCCCCTCAGTCCCTTTAGGTCTGTTAGAGCCCGGCCTCTAAACTCTCGCCTGATTGGTCGATGTGTGGAGCCGTTTGCTTTGGGACAACACTGTGAAAAGATGTTTTATTTGCGTTGTCATGTTGTTGTGTGTCCGCTGAGGTTTGAGTTGTGTCCAAGTGTTTACTGACAACAACAGAGAGAGACCAGAGAGACCAGAGAGAGAGACCAGAGAGAGAGACCAGAGAGAGAGACCAGAGAGACCAGAGAGAGAGACCAGAGAGAGAGACCAGAGAGAGAGACCAGAGAGAAACCAGAGAGAGAGACCAGATAGGGAGACCAGAGAGAGAGACCAGAGAGAGACTAGAGAGAGATCAGAGAGAGACCAGAAGGAGACCAGAGAGAGACCAGAGAGAGACCAGAGAGAGAGACCAGAGAGAGAGACTAGAGAGAGATCAGAGAGAGACCAGAGGGAGACCAGAGAGAGAGACCAGAGAGAGACCAGAGAGAGAGAGACCAGAGAGAGAGAGACCAGAGAGAGAGACCAGAGAGAGACCAGAGAGAGATCAGAGAGAGACCAGAGAGGGACCAGAGAGACACCAGAGAGAGACCAAAGAGAGAGAGAGACCAGAGAAGATCAAAGAGGAAGACCAGAGAGACCAAAGAGGGACCAGAGAGAGACAGATACCAGAGAGCAAAGGGAGGCCAAAGACGAGACAAAGACCAGAGAAAAAAAACAGAGAAAGAACCAGAGAGAGACCAGAGAGAGAGACCAGAGAGAGAGACCAGAGAGAGAGACCAGAGAGAGACCAGAGAGAGAGACCAGAGAGAGAGACCAGAGAGAGAGACCAGAGAGAGAGACCAGAGAGAGAGACCAGAGAGAGAGACCAGAGAGAGAGACCAGAGAGAGACCAGAGAGAGAGACCAGAGAGAGACCTGTGTCCTGTGAGCGTGTCTGAGTTTCTCGCCTCTGCGTCTCCTGTGGTCGGACTCCTTCTGTTTTCACTCATCTCTCATTTATTTGCTCTTCAGACTCTGTTTTTATGAATGAAAACTCTGCGGTTCCTGGATGTTATCAGAGCAGAGAGTTTATCAGAGTTCACCGCACCAGGATCCACTTTGGTTTCATCTGGGACACAGAAATCATCTCTAAACTAGGACTGGAATCAGACTTTTCACACTTACTATAGTTACCACAGTGTCAATACTTGCCACAGTTACCACAGTTACCATAGTTACCACAATGTCAATACGTGCCACAGTTACCACAGTTATCATAGTTACCACAGTGTCAATACTTACCACAGTTACCATAGTTACCTTTACATAGTTTTCATAGTTACCATAGTTTTACATAGTTACCATAGTTACCACGGTTTCCGTAGTTACCATAGTTTTACATAGTTACCATAGTTCTTCACACTGATGCAGGTAAAGTCACAGTTTTGGTCATGTTAGATCTTAGTGCCGCGTTCGACACTGTCGACCATGAGATCCTCATGCAGAGACTGGAGGACTGGGTTGGTGTCACTGGCACAGCCCTAGACTGGTTTAGGTCTTACCTGGAGGATAGGAAGTACTTTGTGGAGATTGGAGACTGCGTCTCAGATCATGTGGCCCTGACCTGTGGAGTACCACAAGGGTCGATCCTGGGACCTCTCCTATTTAATCTCTACATGCTGCCGTTAGGTCAGTTAATACAAAGAAACAAAGTGTCCTACCACAATTACGCCGACGACACTCAGATCTATGTCTCACTGACTGCAGGAGAACATGGACCAGTGGACTCACTCCTTCACTGTATCCAACAGATCAGTGAGTGGATGCAAAACAACTTCCTCCAGCTAAATGCAGACAAAACCGAAATCATTGTCTTTGGTCCCCAGAAACAAAGAGAGGGCGTCATTTGTCAACTTCAGTCTCTCTCCCTACTTCCTTCAGACAAGGTCAGAAATTTGGGGGTAATACTGGACTCAGACCTAAACTTCAATAGCCACATAAAATCAATAACATCAACAGCTTTTTACCATCTGAAGAACATTGCCAAAGTTAGAAATATAGTGTCCAGGGCAGACTTGGAGATTCTTGTCCATGCATTTGTCTCCAGTAGGCTAGACTACTGCAATGGCCTGCTTACAGGTCTGTCCAAACAGACCTGTAAGCAGCTGCAGTACATCCAAAATGCAGCAGCTAGAGTCCTGACAGGAACCAGGAAGTATGACCACATTAGTCCGGTCCTCAGGTCACTGCACTGGCTTCCTGTGGCTCAGAGAATAGATTTTAAAACAGCTCTGCTTGTTACAAGTCTCTCCATGGCCTTGCACCAAAATACATTAGTGACATGTTGGTGTCATATGAACCAGCCCGGACTCTGAGGAGCACAGGGACTGGCCTCCTGCTGGTGCCCAGAGTGAGAACCAAACATGGGGAGGCTGCGTTTCAGATCCATGCAGCTAAGATCTGGAACAATCTCCCTGAAAATGTGAGGGAGGCGTCTACTCTGTCAATGTACAAATCCAGGTTAAAGACTGTTCTGTTTGCCTGTGCATACAACTGAAGGATTTTATCTGCATTTCTAATGCACTGTTGTCATTTTTTTTTTTTTTTTTAATTTCTTGTGTAATTTTGAAAGTTTTAATGGTTTTATTCTTTTGTGTGATTTTAATGTTTTAATTGTGTTTTAATCTTTTGTGTGATTTTAATGTTTTAATTGTGTTTTAATCTTTTGTGTGATTCTAATGTTTTAATTGTGATTCTGGTGTTTGTTTTATGTGATGATTTGTGATGTGGACTGTGAAGCGCTTTGTGTTGCCCTGTGTATGAAAGGCGCTCTACAAATAAACTTTGATTGATTGATTGATTGATAGTTACCATAGTTTCCATAGTTACCATAGTTTCCATGTTACCTTAGTTTCCATAGTTACCCTAGTTTCCGTCTATACCATAGTTACCATAGGTACCACAGTTACCATAGTTACCCTACTTACCCTAGTTTCCATAGTTCCCATAATTACCATAGTTACCACAGTTACCACAGTTTACATAGTTTCTATAGTTGCTATCGTTACCATCGCTACCATAGTTTCCATACTACCATAGTTTCCATGTGACCATAGTTTCCGTAGTTACCATAGTTACCACAGTTACCACAGTTACCACAGTTACCACAGTTACCATACACAGTTACTACTGTTACCATAGTTACCATAGTTTCCATAGTTTCCATAGTTACCACGTTTACCATAGTTACCATAACTTTAGGTTATTTGGAGTGTGCCAATCTAACGTTAACGCAAACCTTTTGACTGATGGAATTGTTGCCAGTCCTGGTCCAGACCGGGTCCAGTCCTGGGTCAGTCTCGCTCTGGTCTCCCACATGTGGCATGGATCATAGAGAAGAAGTGGAACATTTGGACCCAGTTTGAACCCTGACACACGGCGACGACTCCAGTTTGTGATGTCATAACTGTGAATGAGACGCAGCAGCTCTCAGTCTCTCGCAGCAGTTCTATCCAAATAAATATGTTTTCTCTCTTCAACTCATAATGAGGACCCATTTCCTGTGTTTGAACTGTTTGATTCTCTGATCTGTGTTTGCGAATCGACAGCTTTGAAATGTCCTTTGAGAAAACTACTTTTGTGATTTAGAGCAGTAAAAAAGTAAATGCACACAGGGAAGAAAATGGATGGATGGATGAAACTTGACTCCTTTCTTCTATAACATCCTTTTTAGCTCAATCTCATGTGAACCATATGTCTCCTTCTGGCCAAAAATGGTACTGCAACCTCTCCCACTCTCCCTGACTCAGGTTGCCAGATATGCAGACGAATCCAGCTGGGACCATAACATCTGAATAGACAAGAGTTTTGTCAACAACAAATCTATAACCAACACCTTTTTCACAAAGATAGAAATCCTGGTTTTATTCTTTTTTTTCTCGTTAATAATTTGAGAATCATAACGAGACCTTTATTTGTTCTGCGCGTTCTGTACTTTACCAGTGAGATTAGCTCTACACGGTGAGTTGTGGCGCCCGGATCACAGACTTTCTGATTGGTGAAACGGTGGAGGGCGGGACATCGAAATGAAAACAATAAAAAGATTTAGGGGCTGGAAAAGTAATTTGGAAATTCAAATATTTCTGAGCTACTGTTATCAGTTAAAGCAGGAAAATATCAGTTTATTATTATGACAGAGAAGGGCCCTTTAATGATGACAGATTAGGGCCCTTTAATGATGACAGATTAGGGTCCTTTAATGATGACAGATTAGGGCCCTTTAATGATGACAGATTAGGGCCCTGTAAAATGACAGATTAGGGCCCTGTAATGATGACAGATTAGGGCCCTGTAAAATGACAGATTAGGGCCCTGTAATGATGACAGATTAGGGCCCTTTAAGGATGACAGATTAGGGCCCTTTAATGATGACAGATTAGGGACCTTTAATGATGACAGATTAGGGCCCTTTAATGACAACAGATTAGGACCCTTTAATGACGACATATTAGGGCTCTTTAATGACGACAGATTAGGGCTCTTTAATGACGACTGGACATGATAATCTTACATATTGCTACTTTAAGTCCTTTCTCTGCTTCTGCATCTGTTTTATTCCCTTGGTTTGAATGATATTTTTCATTCCTAAAGTCTGGTAATGTGGAACCAATAAGACTGTCTTATCTTAATCCGTGAGTTTTTTCCCCCTTTTTCCTATAAAACCCTGAAGCGACGCAGGAGCCGATCAAAAGTGCTTGTATTTCATTTAATCTCTCCAAAGCAATTGTACTCTTTGGCTGCTGAGTTCTGCTCGTGTTATTGAATTAGAGCAGTAAACTTTCAGGACAGCTGTAAAAGGCCAAACCATGACTCACGCCGTCTCCGCCGATCGCACTAAAACCACTTTGGCGACGAGGGCCAGATTTCTTGAGTTTTTTCTCTGTGCCGTGGTCAAAGTGAAGTGGGCTCAGGCGTTTCTAGGCCAAGAGAACGCTCCGTAAAGGCTTCAGGGAAAAGACAAATGGTTTATGGAAAAAAAGAGTTTGCGAAGGAAGGGGTTCAATGAAAGTACGATGCACTTTGTCAGAGTTGGAACGTTTGTTTTATCCAATGTTCCGACGTCGTTCTGTTGATACTAGAGAGAGACCAGAGAGAGACTAGAGAGAGACCAGAGAGAGGCTAGGGAGAGACTAGAGAGAGACTAGAGAGAGACCAGAGAGAGGCTAGGGAGAGACTAGAGAGAGACTAGGGAGAGACTAGAGAGAAACTAGAGAGAGACTAGAGAGAAACTAGAGAGAAACTAGAGAGAGACTAGAAAGAGACCAGAGAGAGACCAGAGAGCAACCAAAGAGACACCAGAGAGAGACCAGAGAGATGCCCAAGTGAGACTAGAGAGAGACCAGAGAGAGACTAGAGAGACACCAGAGAGAGACCAGAGAGAGACCAGAGAGATGCCCGAGTGAGACTAGAGAGAGACTAGAGAAAGACTAGAGAGAGACCAAATTCAACTGGTGTTTTGCTTTTCTTTAGTTATTCTTTTCTTTGTAAAGAACAAATAGTTTGATTCCAACTATGAACCCTGGCAGTGGTGGCAATAGTTCCACAGCATGATGCTCCCCCCACATTTGACTCTGGGGACAGAGCACTGAAGCTGATCAGAAGTGTCAGTGTTGTCTTTGTCCTCTGTACGACTTCCAACTGCAAAAACAGGATCCTGTCTTTCTCCCAACACTTCCCTCTCCCACTCGTTCATAAACACCAGATCTGTGTAGAGAGCGACTAATATTTGACCTACGCAAGCGATGAGCTGATAACACAGACAAAAGCCCCTCTGTTGGAGGTGTTGGGGAGGAGGAGGGCGGCTGCACGAGCTGAAGCCGCTAGATTTGGTTGTGTGGAAGTGATTTAGGGCAATACAAACATATATTGAATTGATTTAAATGCAGAGTGAATATTACATGTCCTGTGAAATGGGAGTTTCTTGTTTGAAAACGATGTGGTGGAAACTTAGAACAAGTAAAACGATCTCAATTTTGACATTTTCAAACAGGAGTCTTAAAAATACAGTGTGGGCGTCTTGGACTCTTCTGGAGGGAAAAAACAAAGGGCGATTGTTGCGAAGCCCCGGCGCTATGCTAACGTCACCCAAACCTCTCTCCAGAATGCTAACTCAATTTGAGAAGCGGAGGAGGTCAGAGCGTGAGCTACGACTGCAGCTCGGAACACAAACCAGAAACAAATGGACTGCGCCGTCATCTGCGGCTCCACCAAGGAAAACTGCTGTGATAAAGGTCGACAGAAGAGAAAGTTATGGCGTGTCAAGTGGTCAGTGTGTTTTTTCTCTTGGAATTATGGTGACAGCCCGATACCAGCGTCCAAACGGATTTAGTGGAGCTCTGTCTATGAACACATTCCCACTGAACCCTGGTTTGAGCTGCTGTGTCAGAAACAAATGGGCCTCCAACCCGCCTTGCGACCTAGTTATTTTGCCAAATATAGCGGCCATTTTGACACAGATGCGTTTAAGAGCACAGGTGAAAAGTTATGTTTCTACTAGAAATGTCATGATTTAGGCCACACCCTCAAGTTGATCATTGGGATTAGGAACACAGTCCCTCAGCAAGCATTTTGTTGCTTTGCCTTGGTCTATGGTCTCTCTATGGCCTCTCTCTCTGGTCTCACTATGGTCTCTCTCTGGTCTCTCTATGGCCTCTCTCTCTGGTCTCTCTCTGCTCTCTTTCTGGTCTCTCTATGGTATCTCCCTCTGCTCTCTCTCTGGTCCCTCTCTGGTCTCTCTATGGTCTCTCTGGTCTCTCTATGGTCTCTCTCTCTGGTCTCTCTCTGCTCTCTCTCTGGTCTCTCTCCGGTCTCTCTAGGGTCTCTCTCTGGTCTCTCTAGGGTCTCTCTATGGTCGCTCTCTGGTCTCTCTATGGTCTCTTTCTGGTCTCTCTCCCTGCTCTCACTGCGCTCTCTCTGGTCTCTCTCTGGTCTCTCTATGGTCTCTCTATGGTCTCTCTCTCTGGTCTCTCTTTGCTCTCTCTCTGGTCTCTGTATGGTCTCTTTCTGGTCTCTCTAGGGTCTCTCTCTGCTCACTCTCTGCCCCCGCTCTGCTCCCTCCATGGTCTCTCTCTGGTCTCTCTAGGGTCTCTCTCATCCCTCTCTGCTCCCTCTCTGCTCTCTCCCTGCTCTCTCTCTGGTCTCTCTCTGGTCTCTCTATGGTCTCTCTCTGGTCTCTCTATGGTCTCTCTATGGTCTCTCTCTGGTCTCTCTCTGGTCCCTCTCTGGTCCCTCTCTGCTCTCTCTCTGCGCCCGCTCTGCTCCCTCTCTGCTCCCTCCATGGTCTCTCTCTGGTCTCTAGGGTCTCTCTCTGGTCCCTCTCTGGTCTCTCTCTGGTCTCTCTCTCTGGTCTCTCTCTGGTCTCTCTCTCTGGTCTCTCTGGTCTCTCTCTGGTCTCTCTCTGGTCTCTCTCTGGTCTCTCTGGTCTTTCTCTGCTCTCTCTCTCTGGTCTTTCTCTGGTCTCTCTCTGCTCTCTCTCTGCTCCCGCTCTGCTCCCTCTCTGGTCTCTCTGGTCTTTCTCTGCTCTCTCTCTCTGGTCTTTCTCTGGTCTCTCTCTGCTCTCTCTCTGCTCCCGCTCTGCTCCCTCTCTGGTCTCTCTGGTCTTTCTCTGCTCTCTCTCTGGTCTTTCTCTGGTCTCTCTGGTCATACATTTATTTTATTGCCTCTTGAAGAGATTGACGTATTGTCCAGTGTAGCGTTCTTGTAAAGGTACACACTAAAGACTCTCTGCAGGAGGACCATAGACTGTAAACGGCACCCGCCCCCACTGAGGAGGACCATAGACCATAGACCAGGACCCGCCCCCACTGAGGAGGACCGATCCAAGGCAGTCCTTCTGGTCCACGTGTGTTTGAGCCTTCTCCCTTTGGTCTACATTAAAGGTGATAGTCGCAGATCCATCTCCACCGTCTGGACGTGCCTCGGGCTCGTTAGCGCACATGGTGTTTCTCGCCGTGACCTCCGCTCCCAGAATCCTCTGTTCCCACGAGGATTCGCACTTATCTCCGTGTTTTAAGACAATGTTTAAACTGCGGCGGCGATAAGAGGCAGATCCGTCTTCCAAATGGGACCAGCGCCAACGGCTTTATCGCCTCAAAGAAAGTTACTCAAAGAAAGACTCGACATCTGTGGAATCCACCGCTACCTGCAACAAAACTGGCAAAGGACTCTGGGAAAACACGGAATGAGCCTCATATTCAGAGTTTCTCTCTCTGGTCTCTCATTGATCTCTCTCTGGTCTCTTCTTCTGGTCTCTCTCTGGTCTGTCTCTAGTCTCTCTCTTGTCTCTCTCTGCTCTCTCTCTGCTCTCGCTCTGGTCTCTCTCTTTGGTCTCTCTCTGGTCTCACTCTCTGATCTCTTTCTCTGGTCTCTCTCCCTGGTCTCTTCCTCTGGTCTCTCTCTGGTCTCTCTCTGGTCTCTCTCTGGTCTCTTCCTCTGGTCTCTCTCTGGTCACTTCCTCTGGTCTCTCTCTGGTCTCTCGCTCTGGGGTTGCTCTGGTCTCTCTCTGGTCCCTCTCTCTGGTCCCTCTCTCTGGTCTTTCTCTCTGGTCTCTCTTGGCTCTCCCTCTGGTCATTCTCCCCAGTCTCTCTCTGGTCTCTCTTTCTGGTCTACTCTATCTCTCGTCTTTCTCTGGTCTCTCTTTGGTCTCTCTCTGGTCTCACTCTCCGAGCTCTCTCTCTCTCTGGTCTCTCTCTGGTCTCTCTCTCTCTATGGTCTCTTTTTGGTCTCTCTCTGGTCTCTTTTTGGTCTCTCTCTGGTCTCTCTCTCTCTGGTCTCTCTCTGGTCTGTCTCTGGTCTATTTTTGGTCTCTCTGGTCTCTCTCTCTCTGGTCTCTTTCTGGTCTCTCTGACTAAAGCTCAGGATGGTAACTTCAGCCTCATAAATGACAAGTATAGTTTGTCAAAGTGAAAAAAACAACGGATGAAGATGCAGAGATCCTTTCCTGGTCCCACACATGGTTCTATATTGCACATATTGCACAGTTGACACCAGATGAGCTCAGGTCACTGGTTTTTATTCTTTGATTGTGCAAAGTTTCCTTCGTTCCACTTCTCTGTAGTTTCAGAACCTTCTTTGTTTGAGTCAAATGTAAACGAGAAATGAGTTTGGATTTTAGGCAAAAAGTCTGTCGTAAAAGTGATGTGTGGCTCTCTCACTCCTCTCTCTCTCTCTCTCTCTCTCCTCTCTACCTCCCTTTCCTTTCTCTCTTCTTTCCCCCTCCTCTCTCCCTTATATCCATCCCCCTCCTCTCTACCTCGCTTTCCTCTCTCCCTCTTCTCTCTCTCTCATTTCTCCTGCTCTCTTGCTCTGCTTTCTCCCCCTCCTCTCTCTATATCCAGTTTCGCCCTCCTTTCTCTCCTTCTCTTCTCTAGTCTCTCTCCTCTCCTCTCCTCTCTCCCTCCTCCCTCCCTCCTCTTTCTGACTTCTCACTCCTCTCTCCCCCTCCCTCCTTCTCATCTCCCCCCTCTCTCTCTCTCTCTTCTTTCTCACCCTCCTCTCTCTCTCTCAGTCTCAGTCTCCTTTCCTCTCTCCTCTCCCTCCTCTTCCCCTCCTCTCCCCTTCCTCTCTCTCCCCCCCTCTCTCCCCCCTCTCTCCCTCCAGACTCCATTAACTCCGTGTTTACATTCGCTCTTTCCTCTTTATCACAAACATTACAGTCCTGTGCTGATAAACGCTCTTGTTCTGAGTTCAGCCTCAAACAGCTCCAGACTCAGGATAATAGGCCCCAGCTGCTGCTCCCCTCTCTCCCTCCTCTCTCTCCCCTCTCTCCCCCTTCTCTCCCTCCTCTCTCCCTCCTCTCTCTCCCCTCTCTCCCCCTTCTCTCCCTCCTCTCTCCCTCCCCTCTACCTCCTCTCTCCCCGTCTGTCTTGTCTCTCTCTCCTTCCTCTCTCCCTCCTCTACCCTCCTCTCTCTCACACCTCTCCCTCCCTCTCTCTCAACTCTCTCCTCTCTCTCCCTCCTCTCACCCTCCTCTCTCCCTCCTGTAACCCTCCTCTCTCTTCTCTCCCTCCTCTCCCCTTCTCTCTCTCTCCTCTCTCCCTCCTCTTCCCTCCTCTCTCCCACCTGTCTCTCTCCTCTCTCCCTCCTCTCTCTCCTCTCCCCCTTCTCTCTCTCTCCTCTCTCCTCCTCTCTCCCCCCTCTCCCCTCTCCCCCCCCTCTCCCCCTCCTCTCCCCCTCCTCTCCCCTCTCTCCCCCTCCTCTCTCTCCTCTCTCCCTCCCTCATCTCCCCCTCCTCTCTCTCCCTTCTCCCCCTTCTCTCCTCCTCTCCCCTCTCTCCCCCTCCTCTCTCGCTCCTCTCTCTCTCCTCTCTCCCTCCCTCATCTCCCCCTCCTCTCTCCTCTCTCCCTCCCCCCCCCTCTCCCCTCCTCTCTCTCCTGCTGCACACGGAGCCGTCAGAGAAATGACTTCAAACCAGAGAAAACACTGTCGCTGCAGCTCTAAACATAACATTAGTGCTCACAGAGACCGCAGGAAGATGGATGAAGACTTTAAATCCTCCCAGACCAGAGGAGGAGCGTCCAACCATGTGGAGGACCAGAGGAGGAGCGTCCAACCATGTGGAGGACCAGAGGAGGAGCGTTCAACCATGTGGAGGACCAGAGGAGGAGCGTCAAACCATGTGGAGGACCAGAGAAGGAGCGTCCAACCATGTGGAGGACCAGAGGAGGAGCGTTCAACCATGTGGAGGACCAGCGGAGGAGCGTTCAACCATGTGGAGGACCAGAGGAGGAGCGTTCAACCATGTGGAGGACCATCGCAAAACACTTAAATGTGGAGACATTACACTCTGAGTAATTATGAGGTACAGGCAAAAGTGTCAGAGACGGCTCCAATTTGACCAAAGAGAGTCCAGAGAGAGACCAGAGAGAGACCAGAGTGACACCAGAGAGAGAGACCAGAGAGAGACCAGAGAGAGACCAGAGTGAGACCAGACTGAGACAAGAGAGACACCAGAGAGAGACCAGAGTGAGACCCAAGAGAGACCCGAGGGAGAGACCAGAGAGAGAGACCAGAGCAAGACCCAATAGGCCACAACAACAGAACTATGCAATAACATCCACATCACTATAGTGATAAAATAAAACATGACGTAATAATTGCTGAAAAAACTGCGTGTGTTTTTGATGAGGCTAAAGTCAGGGACCCCAGCTTTAATATGACACAGTATTCAGCCCAAAGAGTCAAACAGTGACTCACAGGGCTCACAAAAGACAAGTTCACCCCATTTTACATTTACAAGACTCTCTCTCTCCACACGTGTTACTTATGAGACTGAAGTTACGTAGCTGAGCTTTAGGGCCCTTCTGAAACGCGAGACCGGAGCGATGACGTGGATCTTTGAATCCCGTCGTGACCTCGGGCCTTTCCGTCTCAGCTCCGTGTGGCGTCATCGAGGACCAGAACCAACGGCTGAGAACCATCCACAGACATTTAAAGGAGCAGTACGGAACAATGTGGCCAAAAGTGGTACTGCAGCCTCTCCCACTCTCCCTGACTCAGGTTGCCAGATATGCAGACGAATCCAGCTGGGACCATAACAGCTGAATAGACAAGAGTTTTGTCAACAACAAATCCAAGACCTTTTTTAGTTCTGCGCCACATGGTACTTTACCAGTGAGATTAGCTCCACGCGGTGAGTTCTGGCGCCCGTATCACAGACTTTCTGATTGGTTGGAGGGCGGGACATCGCAATGAAAACAATAACAAGATTTAGTAATTTAGAAATTCAAATATCTCTGAACTATTGTTATCAGTTAAAGAAGTATTGGAAAAGAGCAGTTTATTATTATGACAGATTAGGGCCCTTTAATGATGACGGATTAGGGCCCTTTAATTATGACAGATTAGGGCTCTTTAATGATGACAGATTATGGCCCTTTAATGATGACAGATTATGGCCCTTTAATGATGACGGATTAGGGCCCTTTAATTATGACAGATTAGGGCCCTTTAATTATGACAGATTAGGGCTCTTTAATGATGACGGATTAGGGCTCTTTAATGATGACAGATTAGGGCTCTTTAATGATGACAGATTAGGGCCCTTTAATGATGACAGATTAGGGCTCTTTAATGATGACAGATTAGGGCTCTTTAATGTTGACAGATTAGGGCTCTTTAATGATGACGGATTAGGGCTCTTTAATGATGACAGATTATGGCCCTTTAATGATGACAGATTAGGGCCCTTTAATGATGACGGATTAGGGCCCTTTAATTATGACAGATTAGGGCCCTTTAATGATGACAGATTATGGCTCTTTGATTATGACAGATTAGGGCCCTTTAATGATGACAGATTAGGGCCCTTTAATTATGACAGATTAGGGCTCTTTAATGATGACAGATTAGGGCCCTTTGATTATGACAGATTAGGGCCCTTTAATGATGACAGATTAGGGCCCTTTAATTATGACAGATTAGGGCCCTTTAATGATGACAAATTAGGGCCCTTTCATTATGACAGATTAGGGCTCTTTAATGATGACAGATTAGGGCTCTTTAATGATGACAGATTAGGGCCCTTTAATGATGACTTGACATGATAATCTTACATATTGCTACTTTAAAGCCGGGAGATGTAACTTTAGTCTCAACAACAACACATGTAGTTTGTCCGACAGAGAAAAGTTGAGAAACGTTGTGACCATGTGTCTTTTGTGTGATACAGAGCCCTGTGAGTCACTGTCTGACTCTTTGGGCTGAGAGCTGATTGGCCGAGTGTGGGTGGTCCTCTCTTTGTCTCTTTTCTGTCTGAAAAAGCCGAAAATCCAAAAACACTTGCTTGTGAAAACTGTTTTAGAGCCAGGAATTATAATACAGAGTTTTAATGTTGTGGGTTGAAAGTTACGTACCCCAGCTTTAAAGAAGAAATATGACACATTACAAGGAGACTGTTTACTTTGTCATTTCATGTTGAATGTGAAATGTCTTTAGTTGAAAAACAAAGTATGTATCCATCCATCTCTCTCTCTCTCTCTCTCTCTCTCTCTCTCTCTCTCAGTGTATGCAGAATAAACATGTTCTGTGTCTGTAACTCCGTGTGGGACCAGAGGGAGGAGGAGAATTTGTTGTGTTTTAATTATTTTATTCCAAATTCTAAAAATCCCAGTCGCAAACACAGACATGTGATTGTAAAAATGTTGTTTTGTTTTAAAAGGCTCTGGGTGTGATGTCATAGATGCACAATGACATCACACTATCACAGGACTGAGACTTGGGCTTTTAGACAGAAGAGAGACTCTCTCTGGTTTCTCTAGTCTCTCTGGTCACTCCCCTCTGTATCTCCCCTCGGTCTCTCCCCTCGGTCTTTCCCTTCGGTCTCTCCCCTCGGCCTCTCCCCTCGGCCTCTCACCTCTGTCTCTCACCTCGGTCTCTCCCTTCGGTCTCTCCCTTCGGTCTCTCCCCTCTGTCTCTCCCTTCGGTCTCTCCCCTCGGCCTCCCCCCTCGGTCTCTCCCCTCTGTCTCTCCCTTCGATCTCTCCCCTCGGCCTCTCCCTTCGATCTCTCCCCTCGGCCTCTCCCCTCGGTCTCTCCCCTCTGTCTCTCCCTTCGATCTCTCCCCTCGGCCTCTCCCTTCGATCTCTCCCCTCGGCCTCTCCCCTCGGCCTCCCCCCTCGGCCTCTCCCCTCGGCCTCCCCCCTCGGTCTCTCCCCTCGGTCTCCCCCCTTGGTCGCTCCCCTTTGTCTCTCCCTTCGGTCTCTCCCCTCGGTATACCCCCTTGGTCTTTCCCCTCTGTCTCTCCCTTCGGTCTCTCCCCTCGGTCTCTCCCTTCGATCTCTCCCCTCGGCCTCTCCCTTCGATCTCTCCCCTCGGTCTCTCCCTTCGGTCTCTCCCCTCGGCCTCTCCCCTCGGCCTCCCCCCTCGGTCTCTCCCTTCGGTCTCTCCCCTCGGTCTCCCCCCTTGGTCGCTCCCCTTTGTCTCTCCCTTCGGTCTCTCCCCTCAGTCTCCCCCCTTGGTCTTTCCCCTCGGCCTCTCCCTTCGGTCTCTCCCCTCGGCCTCTCCCTTCGGTCTCTCCCCTCGGCCTCTCCCTTCGGTCTCTCCCCTCGGTCTCTCCCTTCGGTCTCTCCCCTCGGTCTCTCCCCTCTGTCTCTCCCTTCGATCTCTCCCCTCGGCCTCTCCCTTCGATCTCTCCCCTCGGCCTCTCCCCTCGGTCTCCCCTCTTGGTCTCTCCCCTCTGTCTCTCCCTTCGGCCTCTCCACTCGGCCTCTCCACTCGGCCTCTCCACTCGGCCTCTCCCTTCGGTCTCTCCCTTCGGTCTCTCCCTTCGGTCTCTCCCTTCGGTCTCTCCCTTCGGTCTCTCCCCTCGGTCTCTCCCCTCGGCCTCCCCCCTCGGTCTCTCCCCTCGGTCTCTCCCCTCGGTCTCTCCCCTCGGTCTCTCCCTTCGGCCTCTCCCCTCGGCCTCTCCCCTCGGCCTCTCCCCTCGGTCTCTCCCCTCGTTCTCTCCCCTCAGACTCTGCTTCTCACACTCCTTGCATTGTTGCGTTCCAGGTTGCCGCAGATAACAGCAGCGAAAACAAACGCCGTCGAATGCCTCGCTCTTTATCTACTCTCTCAAACCCCAGCGCTCATTGTTCGCGTCTTTGCACGGCGCTGTTTGCTCTGGCGCGCTTCCAGAACGACCCGAGCGCAAAGGACTTTAGATGTTTGAGAGAGAGCGAGAAAGAAAGAGAGAGAGCGAGAGAAAGAGAGATAAAGAGGGAGTGGGAAAGAGAGAGACAGAGAGAGGGAGGCTGGAGAGAGGCCTGAGAGAGAGACAGAGAGAGGTCAGAGTGTGAGAGAGAGAGAGGTTCGTGTGAAGAGGAGGAAGCCGAGTCCGAGCCAAGAATGTGGTTCTGTAATTGTGCTGCTTTCATTACAATCTGATACCTGCGAATACACTTCACGTATGAACACTGGAACTCCCACAGCAGTCAATTTGACGGCTTTTAGTTTTGAACCAAGAGAGAAGAGCCAGAAAGAGGATCCAGAGAGAAGACCCAGAGAGAGGATCCAGAGAGAGGATCCAGAGAGAGGATCCAGAGAGAGGATCCAGAGAGAGGATCCAGAGAGAGGACCCAGAGAGAGGATCCAGAGAGAGAGAGAGGACCAGAGAGAGACCAGAGAGAGACCAGAGAGAGGACCCAGAGAGGACCCAGAGAGAGGACCAGAGAGAGAGAGAGGACCAGAGAGAGACCAGAGAGAGAGAGAGACCAGAGAGAGAGAGAGAGACCAGAGAGAGAGAGAGACCAGAGAGAGAGAGAGAGACCAGAGAGAGGACCAGAGAGAGAGAGAGAGACCAGAGAGAGGACCCGTAGATTTTCAGAATTCATTTGATATGAAAAGGAGCCATCAAAACGACTGTTCTGGGAGTTCTCGTAGTTTCAGAATCCTGGGAGTCCAAGTTAATGCTGGGATTCCTAACTTTAGCCTCATAAATAACACATGTTGTTTGCCCGACAAAAACAGTCTTGTAAGTTGTAAAAGTAAAATGTTGAGAGCGAATCAGACCCAGGACTGGCCATCGGGCGTACCGGGCAATGCCCGAAAGGCCGATGCCCATATTTGGGCCGGCCTGTCTGCCTCATACAAAAACTATATTTGTGAAAAGTGTAAATCCGTTGAGAAATGTTCGAGGGCACCTGCTGCATGTACTCGAACGGGATTCCGCCACCTCAGCGGCCGCAGTGCCCGGGCAGCTGCAGCCGCTTTGTAATCAGCAGTTCCCGAGTCCAGGGCCTCACCAGCGCGCAGCCGCAACGTCACCATGTACCCAAGACCATAAACGCTCACAAGACCATTCTCTGCTTGTTGTGTGTGTGTCTTTGCGTAATCTGTGCACGCAATAAACACACCGCTGCAGAAACAGTCCGCGTCTCGCCTCTCCTCTTGAAGCGCAACTAAACTCTCTAAATTAAAGCTCGGGTACCTACATTTTCCATTGCATTAAGAGGTCATGTTGGTTGTGTCCAAAAGTAAAATGTGAACAAATCAAACAGATTTAGTGACAGCCAATGGCTGACATTATGCATTTCAGACTTTTTTGACCAATTCTCCCTGTAACAAACACCTCCCTCACTCTGAGACATGTTTATTTCTCTCTTTAATGTAGACTATTGCACTTTATTTTATTGTTGAAACCACAGACATCCTGATCCTCTGCAGTATGTGCTTCCGCAAACTGTAGAAACAAACTGTAAAAAAACGCCTGGGCCGTCAAGAAGGCCGTTTTTTGGTCCCAGTCCAGCCCTGATCAGACCTGTTTTCTTTTGTGCAAGAAGATGTGTAAACTGTTTTAGAGAAAGGAGCTGGTGACAAGGCTTTTATTAGACAGTTCTTGTGGTTTGAAAGTTACATTCCCCAGCTTTAAATGAAATCGTGCGAGGAGAAAGCAGAGAGGTTCGGTCTCATTCTTCCTCTGGCTCTGAAGTCCCTGAAGTTTCCTGCTGTTGTCACTTCTGTTCAGATCTCGGCTTAAAATCGTAGTTGTGTTTGGCTCGTTCGCAGTCGGGCTGAAAGAGGAGAACGTCTTTTGTGGGAGATTGTAAAATAATCACACACAATATAAAGTTTAACATCTCATAAAGTGAGGATTTAATAGAGAAATACTTGTGTTTGTCCAGTTCCCGTGTTCAAACAGAGCGCTCCGTCTGCAGAAGTCAGAACCAAACTCACGTCTCTTCCTCTTTTCAAATCCACCATAGAATCCTCTGCCTCATTTTAAAGGAGACGCGACCTGATGCTGTTCTCTCGATAGTGTTCTAATCTCTGACCCTTGTGGCTAATTATCAAATAAATGGTTCAGTTGCTGTCCTCGCCCCAAGCTCCTGTCTTCACCAGGCGAGACGGAGAGATAACAGCGCTGCGATGGGGCCTCCCGGGTTTCGCAGCGATTTATTTGTTTTGTTTTGAGTAGTTCTTCGTTGATGCAGGAGGGTCTAAGGACAGTGTGGAGGGCCCGGGTGTGAGTGAGTGAGTGAGTAGGGTATAGTGTGGACATTCAGATAAAGCCAAAGTCGTGTTCTGGTCCCGCCTACATCTATAGAGGATTGGCTGATCGATTGCTTCTGTCTTGATTTACCAGGAAATTAAGCATGACATTTCAACCAGCAAAAAAAAAATGCATAGAATTTTTGGACACTGACTTTTTTCCAACATTGAATATTTTGACACAGAATTTAAAAACGTTGAATTTTTTTTATACTGAATTTTAATACATTGCATTTTTGGACACTGAATTTTTTCCAACATTGAATATTTTGACACAGAATTTAAAAACATAAAAAAAAATTATACTGAATTATAAAACATTAAATATTTTGACACTGAATTTTTAAACATTGAATTTATTTACACTGATTACCGTTTTGTTATAGTTTATATAATTCAAAAAGCAAAAAAAAGTGTTGATAATAAAAACACAAAATAACCTTCATATAAAACCCTTTGAGACGACTGTTGTTGTGATTTAGCGCTTTACAAAATTAGATCAAATTGACTTCAATCAATATCCATCCATCTATTTTCTTCATCCGGTGCCGGGTCGCAAGGGCAGCAGTCTAAGCAGAGACACCCAGACCTCCTCAGGCTCACTTGGGGGAATCCCAAGATTAATTTCCCTCTGGTCTCCTCCCTTTAGATAATGTATAACGTTATAGTGAGTAACAACCACAGATGTATCATATCATTATGAGAGGCAGGTTTGGACATTTACAGCTGTAGTGGCACCTGGAGTTCCCAGAGGTCTCCCATCACAGTACTAATCAGGCCCTGCCCTGCTTAGCTTCATGGGTCTGACAGGATCTGGCTTTCACCTGCAGGTGGCTCCACAGCTTGTACCCTTTAAGAAAGTCCCTGTGAGACACTGTTTTACTCTGGGCTGAGAGCTGATTGGCCGAGGGAGGGTGGATTTTTTTCTACAGAGTTCTATTGTTGAGGTCTGAAAGTTACGTCCCCCAGCTTTAAGGCCGGTGCTGGGCTAATTCCTGATGCTAAATCCACTTGTGTTCGGCCCCACAGAGGCCCCTGGAGTCGGCGGTTTCTTTTGGCTCGTGCTGAGACCTGTGACTCTGTGTAATGTTCAGGTTTTGGCTCCAATTCTGCCAAACACAAATGAGATTTATTTGAAAAGCGTTTCCCTCGGCGACGACAGAGCGGGTGAAGAAAGAGAAACAATGAAGTCATGAAAGAAGGAGACAGGATCACAGCCGCTCTGCACATCAGACCTGCAGAGGGTTTTAGCCCCGTCCAGGCTGAGATCAGGAGCTCTACGGGGCTATTAGTAGTAGTCGTAGTAGTAGTAGCACTCTATTACTGCCAGTGTTTCTCTCTCTCTCTCTCTCTCTCTCTCTCTAACAAGCTACGCTATTCGCCGCCTTTGATTTCAACGTATCCACAAGTTTCCATTGGTCTGAGTCCGTTTCCACCCTTGGGACATAACGATAATGAACATATATGTGAATGAACGGTATACGTAACTTTAAAGCTGGGTTATGTAACTTTCAGACCACAACAATAGAACTCTCTGGCTCTAAAACCGTTGCTTCTATCACCAGTTTTCACATCATGTGTTTTCGGCCTCTGTCACATCTTTGAATCAGCTTTTTCAGACAGCCAATCAGCTCTCAGCCCAAGCAGTCAAATAGTGGCTCACAGGGCTCTGTCAGGTACCGCAGCTTTAAGTAGTACTTTACTTTACTACTTAATTATCCAGAACTTTGTCACTTTCCCTTCCTTATAAAGTGACGCAGAGCAGATGGTGATGCGACATATAAACAGGTATCAGTGGTTAGCCGTGCTTCTAAGTATCAGACCATGTTTTGTTTACGCTCACATTCTCTCACAGTTTGAAACATGTCGACAACAGTATTGTTTAAAGCTGGGCTGTGTAACTTCAGCCTAATAAATAACACTTGTAGTTTGTCAGAAACAGTCTTGTGAAGGAAAGTAATATGTTATGAGCTAGTAGTAGTATTAGTAGCAGTAGTAGTAGTAGTAGTAGTAGCAATAGCAGTAGCAGTAGCAACCATTGTTGTCTGAAAGTTACATAATCCTCAAAAACTAGTGATAGTTGTTGTTTTAGAGCCAGGAACTCGCTACATGGATTCTATCACAGACTTCTATTATTGTGGTCTGAAAGTTACATCCCCCAGCTTTAACAAAGGTCCAGTCTCTGACACTCAAAGACGCTTCACATGTCATTATTTTAAAATGATTTATAATTTATTATATAATAATAAATTACTACTGTAGCCTCAGCTGCCCTGGGGCACACTGACAGAAGCGAGGCCACCAGTCTGTGCCATCTGCCCCTTGACCTCCACCACACACACACACACACACACACACACACACACACACAAACACACACACACAAACACACACACGCACACGCACACACACATCAGACCCATTCTGGTTCATGCGAGTGTTTGTCGCAGCACATTTATCTCGTGTTGTGTGTCTGTGTTTGCGCGTGCACGAATGCGGCCGGACCGGTTCTCTGCTGGTTTTGGCAGAGGTCCACCTGGTCTGAGGTTTTTCCCATCAGCACCAGTTGCACCGGTTCTGCTGATCCTACTGAGAAATAACACATTGTTTATTTGTGTGGCAGTCCTACTCAGATCTGTGTTTCCTTTCTCTCTCTCGGTGTTCGTGGTGGTGAAGCCCAGACCCTGATCAGAAATCTCCATCCCCCAGGTCTGCAGTGGGTCCTCGGTCACGGCGGGTTGTGTTGTAAAAATAATATATATAAGCAGCTGTATGTTTTAAGGCTGTAAAACCCCCTCTCTCTCACACACACACACACACACACAGTCTATACACTTCTCTGACCACATGGACTCACCACTGCTGGCGTGCGATCACGGAGATATCAAACTTGTTCATTGTAGGTCTGTGAGTGCTGCTGCAGCTGTCAAAAGCTGTGCATACAGCTGCAGAGACCAGAGAGAGACCAGAGAGAGACCGGACAGAGACCAGAAAGAGACCAGAGAGATCGAGACCGGACAGAGAGAGAGACCGTACAGAGACCAGAGAGAGAGAGACCGGACAGAGAGAGAGACCAGAAAGAGACCAGAAAGAGACCAGAGAGAGAGACTGGACAGAGACCAGAAAGAGATTAGAGAGAGAGAGACCGGACAGAGACCAGCAAGAGAGAGAGACCAGTGAGAGAGAGAGAGAGAGAGAGAGACCAAACAGAAACCACAGAGAGAGAGGAGAGAGAGAGAGGACGGGGAGAGAGACCAGCGCGAGAGAGAGGGAGAGAGAGACCAGAGAGAGAGACCAAACAGAAACCACAGAGAGAGAGAACAGAGAGAGAGAGAGAGAACAGAGAGAGAGACCAAACAGAAACCATAGAGAGAGAGAGAGAGAGAACAGAGAGAGAGAGCGAGAACAGAGAGAGAGACCAAACAGAAACCACAGAGAGAGAGAGATAACAGAGAGAGAGAGAGAGAACAGAGAGAGAGACCAAACAGAAACCACAGAGAGAGAGAGAGAACAGAGAGAGAGACTGGACAAAAGTTGTCTTCTGACTTTAAATAAAGGTAACTGTTATGTTGGACTCAGGTTATATGATATTTTTATGGACATCGGTCTCTGCCTCTTATCGACCAATGGCTCTGTGTGTTTCCTGTGTTGTAAATGTTTGATTCTCTGATCTGTGTTGGTGAATCGACAGTTTGTAAAGTCCTCACAGATAACGACTGTGATTCAGGGCTGTACACAAACTGAATTGAACTGTGTTTCCATCTTCAGGTGGTGTTCGGTCTCTCTCGTTGCTGGTTTTTATGGATCTTTTCAGGGACTTCCACATAATCTCAGACACAAATCCTCAAATTCCTAAAGTTTCGTCTGAAGCGGTTGATTCTTGCGGCGTCCTTGGTCCCTGTCCCGGCTCGTGTTCCCAGGCCGGGCGCTCCGGATCGGCTCTCCTGTCTCCTAATCCCCTCAAATGAGCTCTGGAGGAATTCCCACACAAAAGTGCTGCTTGTGTTCAGTGAAATGTGTCCGTCCGACCTCCGCCGGCTCACGTTATTAAACCGGACGAGCTCAGGCCTCAGTGCGGTGAGGTTCTGTGCTTAAGCTGGGACTGGGAAATGTGCAGCGAGATGTTCCTAAAAGTTAAAGTAATTTTAGGTCTAATTTTCTCTCTAAAGTTGCATCAGAAGGTCTCTCTCTCTGACCTGACACACCCTGGACCACAGTGACAAGTCTGGTGTGTTGTGGAGACCCATCGGCTTCCCACTTTCAAACTAATCTTCTCTACAGTCACGGCGAGAGTACACAGGACCAGAGAGAGACCAGAGAGAGAGAGAAACAAGAGAGAGACCAGAGGAAGACCAGAGAGAGACTTTAGAGAGAGATCAGAGAGAGACAGACCAGAGAGAGACCTGAGAGAGAGATCAGAGAGAGAGAGAAACAAGAGAGAAACCAGAGAGAGATCAGAGAGAGAGAGAGAGAGACAAGAGAGAGATCAGAGAGAGAGAGAGAGAGACCAGAGAGAGACCAGAGAGAGAGAGAAACAAGAGAGAGACCAGAGAGAGACCAGAGGAAGACCAGAGAGAGACAAGAGAGAGAGATCAGAGAGAGACAGACCAGAGAGAGACCAGAGAGAGAGAGAAACAAGAGAGAGACCAGAGAGAGACCAGAGGAAGACCAGAGAGAGACCTGAGAGAGAGATCAGAGAGAGACAGACCAGAGAGAGAGAGAGAGAGAGACCAGAGAGCGAGCAGAGAGAGAGATAACAGAGAGAAAGAGAGAGAGATAACAGAGAGAAAGAGAGATAAGAGAGAGACCTGGGAGAGAGCAGAGAGAGAGACCAGAGAGAGACCAGAGGAAGACCAGAGAGAGATCAGAGGAAGACCAGAGAGAGATCAGAGGAAGACCAGAGAGAGACCTGAGAGAGAGATCAGAGAGAGAAACAAGAGAAAGACCAGAAAAAGACAGACCAGAGAGAGAGATCAAAGAGAGAGACCAGAGAGAGAGAGACCAGAGAGAGAGAGACCTGGGAGAGAGCAGAGAGAGAGACCTCAGAGAGAGAGCAGACAGCCCAGAGAGAGAGAGAAGGAAGAGATCAGAGAGAGGGATCATAGTGAGAACCAGAGAGACCAGAGGGAAAGGGTTAGGGTTTACAACTGTACAACTTCATAAAGGACAGACTCAATAAATCCTTCATATTTTGTCTTGTAGTGAATGAATTACCAAGATGAGCCCCAGGACAAGGATTATAAAACAGTTCTGACTGGATTTAGGCAGATCTGGACTTATACAATTACGTAATGATTGGTCCATATAGATTCCCAAACCGCCGCCACATTAGCACCATATATGGACATTTTTTGACACCATAAAAAGAAAAAAAGCAGTAGATACAAATACAGTTATTGAGCTGTCGATTCGCCGAACCCAGATTAGAGAATCAACCTGTTAAAACAATAAAAACACATGGGTCCATAAGCGGTGAATGACCAATGTCCATGAATGTCTTCTCCCTGAGCTCTCTCGTCTAATCCTCATTCCTGGGCTCAGATAGTCTTTCTCCGGCGTCACTCGTGGAGGTACTCTGTCTCTCCTCGTGGATCGCACACTGGCTCATTGTTGGCCTTTTCCTGTCGTAATCCAAACTCGGGGATCTGGGCTCGGTCTCGTCTTTCCTCCTCCAGTCCCACATCTCTCCTCACGCTGCAGCAGTGTGTGCCAAAAGCCTTCCTTCCGTCGGCTGAAAGAGGAAGCCCGGACAGAAGGTGGAGGGCGTGGCTTCAGGAGGACTGGCTGCAGGTGACCGGGACGCGAGCTGATGTTTGCAGATGTCGGTTCAAAACTCGATCTTTGCTTTGCTTTCACTTTGATTCGCTCAAACTGCACAGGCCACGACAGGTTCTGCTTCTGTGATCGTTGTTGGTTTGGTCCATTTTGACTTGGGTTGGGTATCTTTCTGGGCAATACATTACATTTTTGTATTCTTGGATTTCATGAACCTGGCCAGTAGGGGGCGCATGAGCAAAGGTGGGACAGCTCAGTTTTGCTCCTGTTGAAAACCATGTAAAGTCTGTTTTGGAGTCAAAGGCTCTCCTCCTGTGCGGTGTACGGTTGTTGGAACAGTCTTAATCAGGGACACTCAAATCTAAGGGAGAACTGACAAATATTTCTCAAAAGAGTCTTGATTTCAGGCAATTTTGGAATGAAAAACAGAAGAAATTGCTGCGTTTCATTGGGGTGGCCTGCAGGGGGCGCTTATCTGGGAAAGCCTTGATCCACCTCGCCCGCCTCATTCCAGTGATTGTTTAAAAGTGTGCTCCTTTATATGAGACACAGTTGGAACATGAACCAACTCTGGTCTTTCTCTCTGTTTGTGCGGTTGCTACAAGTGTACACCGCACACAAAGATGGCATTTTGACAGCGCTTCTTCTTCTACTATATCTCCGTGTATAAACCGCTTCTTCTTCTACTATATCTCTGTGTATAAACCACTTCTTCTTCTACTATATCTCCGTGTATAAACCACTTCTTCTTCTACTATATCTCTGTGTATAAACCACTTCTTCTTCTACTATATCTCCGTGTATAAACCACTTCTTCTTCTACTATATCTCCGTGTATAAACCACTTCTTCTTCTACTATATCTCCGTGTATAAACCACTTCTTCTTCTACTATAACTCTGTGTATAAACCTCTTCTTCTTCTACTATATCTCCGTGTATAAACCTCTTCTTCTTCTACTATATCTCCGTGTATAAACCACTTCTTCTTCTACTATATCTCCGTGTATAAACCACTTCTTCTTCTACTATATCTCCGTGTATAAACCTCTTCTTCTACTATATCTCCGTGTATAAACCTCTTCTTCTTCTACTATATCTCCGTGTATAAACCACTTCTTCTTCTACTATATGGCCCAGTCCCAATACTCACACTGCACCCTACACACCTCTTCGAAGTGTGCATTTGTTCGAAGTGCACACCAGGGTTGGAGTGCGCAGGTTACAAGTGTGCAAAAAAGGCGGAATTGGGACAGTGCACACTGAGTGCAGGTTACGTCATCGACTCGTCGAGAGATGGTCATTTTCAGACCTAAACTTTATAAAAAATTAAAGGTAACTTTGTCTGACCCTTTGGGAAACAAAATGAATTGCTTCACACACGTTAAAATACATGTATATTAGTTGTTTTTAATTAGAGATAGCTGTATAATTTTAAGTTAAATGTGGGTAACTAACTATCTGGTCAGTTTTTATACATTCTAAGATTATGTTACTAAGTGTAAAGTTTAAATTGAATGTTATATGAATGCTTGCTTTAAAAAGTTATTAAATTGTTAAAACACAATGTCCGTAATTCTTCATCAAACGTTTATGCTTCTTTCCAAGTAATATAGCAAAACTTATTTACACACATACTGCATATATATTTCAAAATTTATATTTAAATGCATTTTCCCGACGTTTTGGTGTGTACCGCAAAGAATTATGGGCAATATCCTTCGCCAGAGTGCGCATAGATGCAGGCTACGGCGAAGTGTGGATCAGGGGCGCGAAGGGGGCGGGGCCAAAGACCTCCCTGGAGAATTGGGACACCCTACGCACTCGCACCCTTTATCGGGAACGCGCAAATGAGGGGCGCGAGGGTGGAAGTGCGAGTATTGGGACGGGGCCCGAGTCTGTGTATAAACCTCTTCTTCTTCTACTATATCTCCGTGTATAAACCACTTCTTCTTCTACTATATGTCTGTGTATAAACCTCTTCTTCTTCTACTATATCACCGTGTATAAACCTCTTCTTCTTCTACTATATCACCGTGTATGAACCACTTCTTCTTCTCTACTATATCTCTGTATATCTCTGTGTATAAACCACTTCTTCTTCTACTATATCTCCGTGTATAAACCACTTCTTCTTCTACTATATGTCTGTGTATAAACCTCTTCTTCTTCTACTATATCTCCGTGTATAAACCACTTCTTCTTCTACTATATCTCTGTGTATAAACCACTTCTTCTTCTACTATATCTCCGTGTATAAGCCACTTCTTCTTCTACTATATCACCGTGTATAAACCACTTCTTCTTCTACTACATCTCCGTGTATAAACCACTTCTTCTTCTACTATATCTCTGTGTATAAACCTCTTCTTCTTCTACTATATCTCCGTGTATAAACCACTTCTTCTTCTACTATATCTCTGTGTATAAACCACTTCTTCTTCTACTATATCTCTGTGTATAAACCTCTTCTTCTTCTACTATATCTCCGTGTATGAACCACTTCTTCACTTCTTCTATATTTCTGTATATTCTCTGTATTCTTCTACTATATCTCTGTATAAACACTTCTTCTTCTACTATATCTCTGTATAAACACTTCTTCTTCTACTATATCTCTGTATAAACACTTCTTCTTCTACTATATCTCTGTATAAACACTTTTCTACTATATCTTGTATAAACACTTCTTCTACTATATCTCTGTATAAACACTTAATATCACTTCTTCTACTATAAACATCTCTGTATAAATACAACACTTCTTCTTCTACTATATCTCTGTATAAACACTTCTTCTTCTAACTATATCTCTGTATAAACACTTCTTCTTCTACTATATCATTGTATAAACACTTCTTCTTCTACTATATCTCTGTATAAACACTTCTACTATATCTCTGTATAAACACTTCTTCTACTATATCTCTGTATAAACACTTCTTCTTCTACTATATCTCTGTATAAACACTTCTTCTACTATATCTCTGTATAAACACTTCTTCTACTATATCTCTGTATAAACACTTCTTCTTCTACTATATCTCTGTATAAACACTTCTTCTACTATATCTCTGTATAAACACTTCTTCTACTATATCTCTGTATAAACACTTCTTCTTCTACTATATCTCTGTATAAACACTTCTTCTTCTACTATATCTCTGTATAAACACTTCTTCTTCTACTATATCTCTGTATAAACACTTCTTCTACTATATCTCTGTATAAACACTTCTTCTTCTACTATATCTCTGTATAAACACTTCTTCTTCTACTATATCTCTGTATAAACACTTCTACTATATCTCTGTATAAACACTTCTTCTACTATATCTCTGTATAAACACTTCTTCTTCTACTATATCTCTGTATAAACACTTCTTCTTCTACTATATCTCTGTATAAACACTTCTTCTACTATATCTCTGTATAAACACTTCTTCTTCTACTATGTCTCTGTATAAACACTTCTACTATATCTCTGTATAAACACTTCTTCTACTATATCTCTGTATAAACACTTCTTCTTCTATATCTCTGTATAAACACTTCTTCTACTATATCTCTGTATAAACACTTCTTCTTCTACTATATCTCTGTATAAACACTTCTTCTTCTACTATATCTCTGTATAAACACTTCTTCTTCTACTATATCTCTGTATAAACACTTCTTCTTCTACTATATCTCTGTATAAACACTTCTTCTACTATATCTCTGTATAAACACTTCTTCTACTATATCTCTGTATAAACACTTCTTCTACTATATCTCTGTATAAACACTTCTTCTTCTACTATATCTCTGTATAAACACTTCTTCTTCTACTATATCTCTGTATAAACACTTCTTCTACTATATCTCTGTATAAACACTTCTTCTTCTACTATATCTCTGTATAAACACTTCTTCTACTATATCTCTGTATAAACACTTCTTCTTCTACTATATCTCTGTATAAACACTTCTTCTACTATATCTCTGTATAAACACTTCTTCTACTATATCTCTGTATAAACACTTCTTCTACTATATCTCTGTATAAACACTTCTTCTACTATATCTCTGTATAAACACTTCTTCTTCTACTATATCTCTGTATAAACACTTCTTCTTCTACTATATCTCTGTATAAACACTTCTACTATATCTCTGTATAAACACTTCTTCTACTATATCTCTGTATAAACACTTCTTCTACTATATCTCTGTATAAACACTTCTTCTACTATATCTCTGTATAAACACTTCTTCTACTATATCTCTGTATAAACACTTCTTCTTCTACTATATCTCTGTATAAACACTTCTACTATATCTCTGTATAAACACTTCTTCTACTATATCTCTGTATAAACACTTCTTCTACTATATCTCTGTATAAACACTTCTTCTTCTACTATATCTCTGTATAAACACTTCTTCTACTATATCTCTGTATAAACACTTCTTCTTCTACTATATCTCTGTATAAACACTTCTTCTTCTACTATATCTCTGTATAAACACTTCTTCTTCTACTATATCTCTGTATAAACACTTCTTCTACTATATCTCTGTATAAACACTTCTTCTTCTACTATATCTCTGTATAAACACTTCTTCTACTATATCTCTGTATAAACACTTCTTCTATCTTCTACTATATCTCTGTATAAACACTTCTTCTTCTACTATATCTCTGTATAAACACTTCTTCTTCTACTATATCTCTGTATAAACACTTCTTCTTCTACTATATCTCTGTATAAACACTTCTACTATATCTCTGTATAAACACTTCTTCTACTATATCTCTGTATAAACACTTCTTCTACTATATCTCTGTATAAACACTTCTTCTACTATATCTCTGTATAAACACTTCTTCTTCTACTATATCTCTGTATAAACACTTCTTCTACTATATCTCTGTATAAACACTTCTTCTTCTACTATATCTCTGTATAAACACTTCTTCTTCTACTATATCTCTGTATAAACACTTCTTCTACTATATCTCTGTATAAACACTTCTACTATATCTCTGTATAAACACTTCTTCTACTATATCTCTGTATAAACACTTCTTCTTCTACTATATCTCTGTATAAACACTTCTTCTTCTACTATATCTCTGTATAAACACTTCTTCTTCTACTATATCTCTGTATGACGTCAGATGGAACCCAAGGATTATTCAGATTATAAGTGACACTTTGGCTCCGACTTCTGTGTCAGATTCATTTGACACCGACTCTTTGCTAAACCTGTAGTTTTTCTTTATGCTACAGTTTTTTGACTCTTACCATGTGACCTTAACAAACGTCGTTCTCAGTTCTCTGAGCACAGAGAGAGAGCACAGAGAGAGCACAGAGAGAGCACAGAGAGAGAGCACACAGAGAGAGCACAGAGAGAGGATAGAGAGAGCACAGAGAGAGAGCACAGAGAGAGAGCACAGAGAGAGCACAGAGAGAGAGCACAGAGAGAGAGCACAGAGAGAGAGCACAGAGAGAGAGCACAGAGAGAGAGCACAGAGAGAGAGCACAGAGAGAGAGCACAGAGAGAGCATAGAGAGAGAGCACAGAGAGACAGCACACAGAGAGAGAGCACAGAGAGAGCACAGAGAGAGCACACAGAGAGAGCACACAGAGAGAGAGCACAGAGAGAGAGCACACAGAGAGAGGACAGAGAGAGAGCACAGAGAGAGAGCACAGAGAGAGCACAGAGAGAGGACACAGAGAGAGGACACAGAGAGAGCACACAGAGAGAGCACAGAGAGAGAGCACAGAGAGAGAGCACAGAGAGAGAGGATAGAGAGAGCACAGAGAGAGAGCACACAGAGAGAGAGCACAGAGAGAGCACAGAGAGAGCACAGAGAGAGAGCACAGAGAGAGAGCACACAGAGAGAGAGAGAGAGCACAGAGAGAGAGCACAGAGAGAGCACAGAGAGAGAGCACAGAGAGAGAGCACAGAGAGAGAGCACAGAGAGAGCACAGAGAGAGAGCAGAGAGAGCACAGAGAGAGCACAGAGAGAGCACACACACACAGAGAGAGCACAGAGAGAGCACACAGAGAGCACAGAGAGAGCACACAGAGAGAGAGCACACAGAGAGAGCACAGAGAGAGCACACAGAGAGCACAGAGAGAGCACACAGAGAGAGCACAGAGAAAGCACAGAGAGAGCATACAGAGAGAGAGCACACAGAGAGAGAGCACACAGAGAGAGAGCACACACTCACCTGGTTGCAGATGCAGGTTCTTGTAGCTGGCAGCAGAGGACATGGCCTGGCCCAGAGCCTGGTTGGTTCCCAGGACCGTGGTCCCGGTCTTGGATCCAGAGGACGAGGTCTTGGACTTGGATTCTTTAGAAGGTTTGGTCCATAACAGAGGCTCCCCCACCTGCAGCGCGGCGGCCATCTTCTGAGCCATGTCCACCAGCTGAGGGGGGAGGAGGGGGGAGGAGGGGGAGGAGGGGAGAGAGAGGAGGGGGAGAAGTAAGTAACTGAATCTCAGACGTACTGGACTTTAGAACGAGGGACAACATGTCTATATTGTCTGAGCTGAAGTTGGCTGGATGATCTCAAAGACTACCTTGGGTTAGCAAAGGCAGAGGGCCACATACAATGACACTGAGGACCACAACTCGCCCCCGGGCCTGAGTTTGGACATGTCTAGATCTTCATGTGTTAGAAAGTGTCTCCTCAGTCTGTGTGAGACTCACCTCGGGGTCGTACTGGTCTCTCAGACTCACCTCGGGGTCGTACTGGTCTCTCAGACTCACCTCAGTGTTGTTGGTGTCTCTCAGACTCACCTCGGGGTCGTACTGGTCTCTCAGACTCACCTCAGTGTTGTTGGTGTCTCTCAGACTCACCTCAGGGTCGTACTGGTCTCTCAGACTCACCTCAGTGTTGTTGGTGTCTCTCAGACGCACCTCGGGGTCGTACTGGTCTCTCAGACTCATCTTAGTGTTGTTGGTGTCTCTCAGACGCACCTCGGGGTCGTACTGGTCTCTCAGACTCATCTTAGTGTTGTTGGTGTCTCTCAGACGCACCTCGGGGTCGTACTGGTCTCTCAGACTCACCTCAGTGTTGTTGGTGTCTCTCAGACTCACCTCGGGGTCGTACTGGTCTCTCAGACTCACCTCAGTGTTGTTGGTGTCTCTCAGACTCACCTCAGGGTCGTACTGGTCTCTCAGACTCACCTCAGTGTTGTTGGTGTCTCTCAGACTCACCTCAGGGTCGTACTGGTCTCTCAGACTCACCTCAGTGTTGTTGGTGTCTCTCAGACGCACCTCGGGGTCGTACTGGTCTCTCAGACTCATCTTAGTGTTGTTGGTGTCTCTCAGACGCACCTCAGGGTCGTACTCGGTGTTGTTGGTGTCTCTCAGACTCACCTTGGTGTTGTTGGTGTCTCTCAGACTCACCTCGGTGTTGTTGGTGTCTCTCAGACTCATCTCAGTGTTGTTGGTGTCTCTCAGACGCACCTCAGGGTCGTACTCGGTGTTGTTGGTGTCTCTCAGACTCACCTTGGTGTTGTTGGTGTCTCTCAGACTCACCTTGGTGTTGTTGGTGTCTCTCAGACTCACCTCGGTGTTGTTGGTGTCTCTCAGACTCACCTTGGTGTTGTTATTGTCTCTCAGACACTCCTCGGGGTCGTACTCTGTGTTGTTGGTGTCTCTCAGACTCACCTCGGGGTCGTACTCGGTGTTGTTGGTGTCTCTCAGACACACCTCGGGGTCGTACTCGGTGTTGTTGGTGTCTCTCAGACACACCTCGGGGTCGTACTCGGTGTTGTTGGTGTCTCTCAGACTCACCTCGGTGTTGTTGGTGTCCCTCAGACTCACCTCGGTGTGGTTGGTGTCTCTCAGACTCACCTCGGTGTTGTTGGTGTCTCTCAGACTCACCTCGGGGTCGTACTCGGTGTTGTTGGTGTCCCTCAGACTCACCTCGGTGTTGTTGGTGTCCCTCAGACTCACCTCGGTGTGGTTGGTGTCTCTCAGACTCACCTCGGTGTTGTTGGTGTCTCTCAGACTCACCTCGGTGTTGTTGGTGTCCCTCAGACTCACCTCGGTGTGGTTGGTGTCTCTCAGACTCACCTCGGTGTTGTTAGTGTCTCTCAGACACACCTCGGGGTCGTACTCTGTGTTGTTGGTGTCCCTCAGACTCACCTCGGTGTGGTTGGTGTCTCTCAGACTCACCTCGGTGTTGTTGGTGACTCTCAGACTCACCTCGGTGTTGTTGGTGTCTCTCAGACTCACCTCGGGGTCGTACTCGGTGTTGTTGGTGTCTCTCAGACTCACCTCGGGGTCGTACTCGGTGTGGTTGGTGTCTCTCAGACTCACCTTGGTGTTGTTGGTGTCTCTCAGACTCACCTCGGGGTCGTACTCGGTGTGGTTGGTGTCTCTCAGACTCACCTTGGTGTTGTTAGTGTCTCTCAGACACACCTCGGGGTCGTACTCGGTGTTGTTGGTGTCCCTCAGACTCACCTCGGTGTGGTTGGTGTCTCTCAGACTCACCTTGGTGTTGTTGGTGACTCTCAGACTCACCTTGGTGTTGTTAGTGTCTCTCAGACACACCTCGGGGTCGTACTCGGTGTTGTTGGTGTCTCTCAGACGCACCTCGGGGTCGTACTCGGTGTTGTTGGTGTCTCTCAGACTCACCTTGATGTTGTCGGTGTCTCTCAGACTCACCTCGGTGTTGTTGGTGTCTCTCAGACTCACCTCGGGGTCGTACTCGGTGTTGTTGGTGTCTCTCAGACTCACCTCGGTGTTGTCGGTGTCTCTCAGACTCACCTCGGTGTTGTTGGTGTCTCTCAGACTCACCTCTGGGTCGTACTCGGTGTTGTTGGTGTCTCTCAGACTCACCTCGGTGTTGTTGGTGTCTCTCAGACTCACCTCTGGGTCGTACTCGGTGTTGTTGGTGTCTCTCAGACTCACCTCGGGGTCGTACTCGGTGTTGTTGGTGTCTCTCACTCACCTCGGGGTCGTACTCGGTGTTGTTGGTGTCTCTCAGACTCACCTCGGGGTCGTACTCGGTGTTGTTGGTGTCTCTCAATCACCTCGGGGTCGTACTCGGTGTTGTTGGTGTCTCTCAGACTCACCTCGGGGTCGTACTCGGTGTTGTTGGTGTCTCTCAGACTCACCTCGGGGTCGTACTCGGTGTTGTTGGTGTCCCTCAGACTCACCTCGGGGTCGTACTCGGTGTTGTTAGTGTCTCTTGTGGCGGTGACCTTCCGTTCCAGCTCCTGGTACTGCTGCAGAGCTCCTTTCTTGTCTCCGTGGTTAAACAGGAAGATGGCAAAGTTCAGGTTCACCATCGGGTTGGACCTGAAGAAGATACACCTCAGTTAGACCCAGGCCGACCCAGGGCAGACCAAGGCCAGATCCATGCCAGACAGGTCGGACCCAGGCCAGACCCAGGCCAGACCTAGGTCAGACGAAGGCCAGATCCAGGCCAGACAGGTCAGACCAAAGCCAGACGAAGGCCAGACCCAGGCCTGTGTAACAACAGTGTGTAACAACAGTGTGTAACAACAGTGGGTAACAACAGTGTGTAACAACAGTGTGTAACAACAGTGTGTAACAACAGTGTGTAATAACAGTGTGTAACAACAGTGTGTAACAACAGTGTGTAACAACAGTGTGTAACAACAGTGTGTAACAACAGTGTGTAACAACAGTGTGTAACAACAGTGTGTAATAACAGTGTGTAACAACAGTGTGTAACAAGTGTGTAACAACAGTGTGTAATAACAGTGTAATAACAGTGTGAACAGTGGGTAACAACAGTGTGTAATAGTGTGTAACAGTGTGTAATAACAGTGTGAACAGTGTGTAATAGTGTGTAACAACAGTGTGTAATAACAGTGTAATAACAGTGTGAACAGTGTAACAACAGTGTGTAACAACAGTGTGTAACAACAGTGTGTAATAACAGTGTAATAACAGTGTGAACAGTGGGTAACAACAGTGTGTAATAAGTGTGTAACAACAGTGTGTAATAACAGTGTAAACAGTGGGTAACAACAGTGTGTAACAACAGTGTGTAATAGTGTGTAACAGTGTGTAATAACAGTGTGAACAGTGTGTAACAACAGTGTGTAACAGTGTGTAACAACAGTGTGTAACAACAGTGTAACAACAGTGTAATAACAGTGTGAACAGTGGGTAACAACAGTGTGTAATAGTGTGTAACAGTGTGTAATAACAGTGTGAACAGTGTGTAACAACAGTGTGTAATAGTGTGTAACAGTGTGTAACAACAGTGTGTAACAACAGTGTGTAACAACAGTGTGTAACAACAGTGTGTAATAACAGTGTGTAATAACAGTGTGTAATAACAGTGTGAACAGTGGGTAACAACAGTGTGTAACAACAGTGTGTAACAACAGTGTGTAACAACAGTGTGTAACAACAGTGTGTAATAACAGTGTAATAAGTGTGAACAGTGGGTAACAACAGTGTGTAATAGTGTGTAACAACAGTGTGAACAGTGTGTAACAACAGTGTGTAACAACAGTGTGTAATAGTGTGTAACAGTGTGTAATAACAGTGTGAACAGTGTGTAACAACAGTGTGTAATAGTGTGTAACAACAGTGTGAACAGTGTGTAACAACAGTGTGTAATAGTGTGTAACAACAGTGTGTAACAACAGTGTGTAACAACAGTGTGTAATGGTGTGTAACAACAGTGTGTAATAACAGTGTGCACAGTGTGTAACAACAGTGTGTAATAGTGTGTAACAACAGTGTGTAACAACAGTGTGTAATAACAGTGTAATAACAGTGTGAACAGTGGGTAACAACAGTGTGTAATAGTGTGTAACAGTGTGTAATAACAGTGTGAACAGTGTGTAACAACAGTGTGTAATAGTGTGTAACAACAGTGTGTAACAACAGTGTGAACAGTGTAACAACAGTGTGTAACAACAGTGTGTAATAACAGTGTAATAACAGTGTGAACAGTGTGTAACAACAGTGTGTAATAGTGTGTAACAGTGTGTAATAACAGTGTGAACAGTGTGTAACAACAGTGTGTAATAGTGTGTAACAACAGTGTGTAATAGTGTGTAACAACAGTGTGTAATAGTGTGTAACAACAGTGTGTAATAGTGTGTAACAACAGTGTGAACAGTGTGTAACAGTGTGTAATAGTGTGTAACAACAGTGTGTAATAGTGTGTAACAACAGTGTGAACAGTGTGTAACAACAGTGTGTAATAGTGTGTAACAACAGTGTGAACAGTGTGTAACAACAGTGTGTAATAGTGTGTAACAACAGTGTGTAATAGTGTGTAACAACAGTGTGTAACAACAGTGTGTAATAGTGTGTAACAACAGTGTGTAATAACAGTGTGCAGTGTGTAACAACAGTGTGTAACAACAGTGTGTAATAACAGTGTGCAGTGTGTAACAACAGTGTGTAACAACAGTGTGTAACAACAGTGTGTAACAACAGTGTGTAATAACAGTGTAATAACAGTGTGAACAGTGTGTAACAACAGTGTGTAATAGTGTGTAATAACAGTGTGAACAGTGTGTAACAACAGTGTGAACAGTGTGTAACAACAGTGTGTAATAGTGTGTAACAACAGTGTGTAATAGTGTGTAACAACAGTGTGTAACAACAGTGTGTAATAGTGTGTAACAACAGTGTGTAATAACAGTGTGCACAGTGTGTAACAACAGTGTGTAATAGTGTGTAACAACAGTGTGTAACAACAGTGTGTAATAACAGTGTAATAACAGTGTGAACAGTGTGTAACAACAGTGTGTAATAGTGTGTAACAACAGTGTGTAACAACAGTGTGAACAGTGTAACAACAGTGTGAACAGTGTAACAACAGTGTGAACAGTGTAACAACAGTGTGTAACAACAGTGTGTAACAACAGTGTGTAACAAGTGTGTAACAACAGTGTAATAACAGTGTGAACAGTGTGTAACAACAGTGTGAACAGTGTGTAACAGTGTGTAATAACAGTGTGAACAGTGTGTAACAACAGTGTGTAACAGTGTGTAATAACAGTGTGAACAGTGTGTAACAACAGTGTGAACAGTGTGTAACAACAGTGTGAACAGTGTGTAACAACAGTGTGTAATAGTGTGTAACAACAGTGTGTAATAGTGTGTAACAACAGTGTGTAACAACAGTGTGTAACAACAGTGTGTAATAGTGTGTAACAACAGTGTGTAACAACAGTGTGCACAGTGTGTAACAACAGTGTGTAATAGTGTGTAACAACAGTGTGTAACAACAGTGTGTAACAACAGTGTGTAACAACAGTGTGTAACAACAGTGTGTAACAACAGTGTGTAACAACAGTGTGTAACAACAGTGTGTAACAGTGTGTAATAACAGTGTCTAATAACAGTGTGTAATAACAGTGTGTAATAACAGTGTGTATATGGTGTGTAACAACAGTGTGTAATAACAGTGTAATAACAGTGTGAACAGTGGGTAACAACAGTGTGAACAGTGGGTAACAACAGTGTGTAACAACAGTGTGTAATAGTGTGTAACAGTGTGTAACAACAGTGTGTAATAGTGTGTAACAACAGTGTGTAACAACAGTGTGTAACAACAGTGTGTAACAACAGTGTGTAACAACAGTGTGTAATAGTGTGTAACAACAGTGTGTAACAACAGTGTGTAATAACAGTGTAACAACAGTGTGTAACAACAGTGTGTAATAGTGTGTAACAACAGTGTGTAACAAGTGTGTAATAACAGTGTGTAACAACAGTGTGTAACAACAGTGTGTAACAACAGTGTGTAATAGTGTGTAACAACAGTGTGTAACAACAGTGTGTAATAGTGTGTAACAACAGTGTGTAACAACAGTGTGTAATAACAGTGTAACAACAGTGTGTAACAACAGTGTGTAATAACAGTGTAACAACAGTGTGTAACAACAGTGTGTAATAACAGTGTAACAACAGTGTGTTATGGAGAGGCCACACTCACTGGTCCAGGGTCACCGCCTGCTCATACGCTCTGCTGGCGTTCTCCTGATCCTCCAGGTTTGTCAGAGCCACTGAAGAAACAACAGACCTCTCTCTCAGTATACATACAGACCTCTGTCTCAGTATACATACAGACCTGTCTCAGTATACATACAGACCTGTCTCAGTATACATACAGACCTGTCTCAGTATACATACAGACCTGTCTCAGTATACATACAGACCTGTCTCAGTATACATACAGACCTGTCTCAGTATACATACAGACTGTCTCAGTATACATACAGACCTGTCTCAGTATACATACAGACCTGTCTCAGTATACATACAGACCTGTCTCAGTATACATACAGACCTGTCTCAGTATACATACAGACCTGTCTCAGTATACATACAGACCTGTCTCAGTATACATACAGACCTCTATACAGTGCCTTGCGAAAGTATTCGGCCCCCTTGAACCTTTCAACATTTCGCCACATTTCAGGCTTCAAACATAAAGATATAAAATTTTTATTTTTTGTCATGAATCAACAACAAGTGGGACACAATTGTGAAGTGGAACAAAATGTATTGGATAATTTAAACTTTTTTAACAAATAAAAAACTGAAAAGTGGGGCGTGCAATATTATTGGGCCCCTTTACTTTCAGTGCAGCAAACTCAGTCCAGAAGTTCAGTGAGGATCTTTGAATGATCCAATGTTGTCCTAAATGACTGATGATGATAAATAGAATGCACCTGTGTGTAATCAAGTCTTCGTATAAATGCACCTGCTCTTTGATAGTCTCAGGGTTCTGTTTAAAGCACAGAGAGAACCATGAAGACAAAGGAACACACCAGGCAGGTCCGAGATACTGCTGTGGAGAAGTTTAAAGCCGGATTTGGATACAAAAACATTTCCCAAGCTTTAAACATCTCAAGGAGCACTGTGCAAGCAATTATATTGAAATGGAAGAAGTATCAGACCACTGCAAATCTACCAAGACCCAGCCGTCCCTCCAAACTTTCATCTCAAACAAGGAGAAGACTGATCAGAGATGCAGCCAAGAGGCCCATGATCACTCTGGATGAACTGCAGATAACTACAGCTGAGGTGGGAGAGTCTGTCCATAGGACAACAATCAGTCGTGCACTGCACAAATCTGGCCTTGGAAGAGTGGCCATTTCTCAAAGATATCCATAAAAAGTCTTGTTTAAAGTTTGCCACAAGCCACCTGGGAGACACACCAAACATGTGGAAGAAGGTGCTCTGGTCAGATGAAACCAAAATCAAACTTTTTGGCCACAATGCAAAACGATATGTTTGGTGTAAAAGCAACACAGCTCATCACTCTGAACACACCATCCCCACTGTCAAACATGGTGGTGGCAGCATCATGCTTTGGGCCTGCTTTTCTTCAGCAGGGACAGGGAAGATGGCTAACATTGATGGGAAGATGGATGGAGCCAAATACAGGACCATTCTGGAAGAAAACCTGTTGGAGTCTGCAAAAGACCTGAGACTGGGACGGAGATTTATCTTCCAACAGGACAATGATCCAAAACATAAAGCCAAATCTACAATGGAATGGTTCACAAATAGACGTATCCAGGTGTTAGAATGGCCAAGTCAAAGTCCAGACCTGAATCCAATCGAGAATCTGTGGAAAGAGCTGAAGACTGCTGTTCACAAACGCTCTCCATCCAACCTCACTGAGCTCCAGCTGTTTTGCAAGGAAGAATGGGCAAGAATTCCAGTCTCTCGATGTGCAAAACTGATAGAGACATACCCCAAGCGACTTGCAGCTGTAATTGCAGCAAAAGGTGGCGCTACAAAGTATTAGCGCAAGGGGCCGAATAATATTGCACGCCCCACTTTTCAGTTTATTATTTGTTAAAAAAGTTTAAATTATCCAATAAATGTTGTTCCACTTCACGATTGTGTCCCACTTGTTGTTGATTCTTGACAAAAAAATAATTTTTTATATCTTTATGTTTGAAGCCTGAAATGTGGCGAAAGGTTGAAAGGTTCAAGGGGGCCGAATACTTTCGCAAGGCACTGTACATACAAACCTCAGTCTCAGTATACATACAGACCTCAGTATACATACAGACCTCAGTATGCATACAGACCTGTCAGTATACACACAGACCTGTCAGTATACATACAGACCTGTCAGTATACACACAGACCTGTCAGTATGCATACAGACCTGTCAGTATACATACAGACCTGTCAGTATACACACAGACCTGTCAGTATACATACAGACCTGTCAGTATACATACAGACCTGTCAGTATACATACAGACCTGTCTCAGTATACATACAGACCTGTCAGTATACATACAGACCTGTCAGTATACATACATACCGGCCAGCAGCATGTATAGCTCCCCCATGCGCGGGTGCAGGTTGATGGCGGCGCTGAGGAAGTGGAATGCGGAGGCGAACTGCTGCATGGTCAGATGCACCAGGCCCAGGTTGTACAGCACCTTCCAGTCAAAGGGAGACAGGTAGTGCGCCCTCTTCAGGCAGCTGATCGCCTGTGCAACCACCACAGAGTCACGGAATGTACCATACGCAACAAAGGAATGTACCATATGCAACAAAGGAATGTACCATATGCAACAAAGGAATGTACCATATGCAACAAAGGAATGTACCATATGCAACAAAGGAATGTCAGTGGTTAGTTAAGATGTTGCACTGCGAAAAGTTAATAAAAAATTGCTAAAGTTTGACTAAATGTATCTTAATCTGAGCACATTCAACAATGGGACAAAGTCAAATGTAGAATGTGTCAGATTAAGACAAACTCACGTGATTTAAGCATGTATTAGCTCAGATTTGATCATTGCTGCAGTGTGGATAAGGCCATGAAGAATAAGGACTGATGAGTGTTTCACAAAGACCAATTAAGAGCTAATTAACCATAAATCCTGCACTAGCTAGCACTTCGTTAGCTGTTTGTTAGCCAGGGCGGAACTTTCTCTGAAGACTTGAACTGCAGCTGAAAGTATTCATCAGAAACAGTCTGATCCGAGTTCTGTTAAAGATGGAGTAAAATGCACAAAAACAAATCCTAATTTCAAACTAAACTGAGAAAAGCTTTTTGCAGATGTTCCAAGAGTGATCGGGGGATACATTGTTACATAAGACTCTCTGATAAAGTGAGCATCAAACAAAGCAATAGTGAGGCGTGAGTGGCAGCGCGGAAATTAAACTGCCAAGAAAGTTTTGGGTTAAGCCTCGAGTTACATTTCTGCAAAGAGAAAACTGTCCTGAAAAAGAGCTTTGGCATTTCTACTTTATTAAACCATTACAGACTTGTCCTTTCTCTGGACAGAAACATCTGAAGAGACAATCATGGAAACAGAATGGGACACGACAGGCTGTTCCCCGCTGTCCTCCAGGCCTGGATTATGTCCTCCAGGCCTGGATTATGTTGTCTGGATTATGTCCTCCAGGCCTGGATTATGTTGTCTGGATTATGTCCTCCAGGCCTGGATTATGTTGTCTGGATTATGTCCTCCAGGCCTGGATTATGTTGTCTGGATTATGTCCTCCAGGCCTGGATTACGTTGTCTGGATTATGTCCTCCAGGCCTGGATTATGTTGTCTGGATTATGTCCTCCAGGCCTGGATTACGTTGTTTGGATTATGTCCTCCAGGCCTGGATTATGTTGTCTGGATTATGTCCTCCAGGCCTGGATTATGTTCACTTTGGAGAGACCCAAGAGGGAAAATGCAGTTAGAAGTTTGTTGATTGAGTATGTTTGGCGCCCTAGGCCCGGGAGAGATGCTGATGAGTGCGGCGCTTGCTCGCGCGCATGATCCCCCCGGGGCCTAGGCACTGGTGACGGCAGAGGCAGTAGGCAAGCACGCTTCGATGAGAGAAGGAGGAGGTGGGGCGGCGGAGGCTTTGCAAACTTCAGAAGGCCGGGAAAGTGGGCGTCTCCGGCTTTTAACTTGCTGTCCTGGTGGTTATTGGTGGATTAGATGTGGGCGTTTTGCTGGTGTAATGAGTAGAGGATGAGCAGGCTTGTAGATCTGGCAGCAGTGGCCGGGTCTACCACAGTGAACTTTCGCGAAGAGCTTCATTTCACTTTGGAGAGACCCAAGAGGGAAAATGCAGTTAGAAGTTTATTGATTGAGTATGTTTGGCGCCCTAGGCCCGGGAGAGATGCTGATGAGTGCGGCGCTTGCTCGCGCGCATGATCCCCAAAAACGGGCAGAGTTATCTTTGCGCGCCGGGACGTGAGCGCTCGCTTCACGATCAACCGGACGCTGCCTGGGACGTGAGCGCTCGCATCACGATCGATACCAGACGCTGTAGCAGAGTTGTCTTTAAGCGCCGGGACGTGAGCGCTCGCTCACGATCGACCGGACGCTGCCTGGGACGTGAGCGCTCGCATCACGATCGATACCAGACGCTGTAGCAGAGTTGTCTTTAAGCGCCGGGACGTGAGCGCTCGCTTCACGATCAACCGGACGCTGCCTGGGACGTGAGCGCTCGCATCACGATCGATACCAGACGCTGTAGCGGAGTTGTCTTTAAGCGCCGGGACGTGAGCGCTCGCTTCACGATCAACCGGACGCTGTCTGGGACGTGAGCGCTCGCATCACGATCGATACCAGACGCTGTAGCAGAGTTGTCTTTAAGCGCCGGGACGTGAGCGCTCGCTTCACGATCGATACCAGACGCTGTAGCAGAGTTATCTTTGAGCGCCGGGACGTGAGCGCTCGCTTCACGATCAACCGGACGCTGCCTGGGACGTGAGCGCTCGCATCACGATCGATACCAGACGCTGTAGCGGAGTTGTCTTTAAGCGCCGGGACGTGAGCGCTCGCTTCACGATCAACCGGACGCTGCCTGGGACGTGAGCGCTCGCATCACGATCGATACCAGACGCTGTAGCGGAGTTGTCTTTAAGCGCCGGGACGTGAGCGCTCGCTTCACGATCAACCGGACGCTGTCTGGGACGTGAGCGCTCGCTTCACGATCGATACCAGACGCTGTAGCAGAGTTATCTTTGAGCGCCGGGACGTGAGCGCTCGCATCACGATCAACCGGACGCTGTCTGGGACGTGAGCGCTCGCATCACGATCGATACCAGACGCTGTAGCAGAGTTGTCTTTAAGCGCCGGGACGTGAGCGCTCGCATCACGATCAACCGGACGCTGCCTGGGACGTGAGCGCTCGCATCACGATCAACCGGACGCTGCAACAGGGTTATCTTTGAAGAAGTGCGTGCCGCCACCAGAATCTTATTGGTTCACTTACTTTGCTTTGTATTGCTTTGCTGGGAGCTTACGAGGAAGCCAGTAGACTTTGTGCAGCCAGGATAGCGGACGCGTCTGGCCTGATGTAGGCGGAGAAGGCCGAAGAGGACCAGCGCCCCAGCTGTTGCAGAGAGGTGTGGGGGAGCCCCAGCGAGGCCGCGCGCGTGGCAGCGCCTATCCTGAAGGAGTGAGCTGTGTAGAGCTGGGGAGACAAATTACAGAGGAGCAGTAGGGATCTTAGCTGAGCTCTGAACCAGGTTGCTGTCATGGGAAGACTGTCTGGAGTGAGAAATAGAGGTCCGTTAAGATCTCCTTTGTGCAGCGGAGGCGAGTGTAACGCATAAAGGATTTGTAGGGGCAGAGAGATGTGTCCGAGCGAGCTATTACTATATTGCAGGCTCCTTTGATTTTTGAATGTTTGAGACGGAGGTTGAAATGGTCAGGGGACATTATGTTGGGTGAAAAAGAGCGACCTTTGTGTAATGCTTCCACTACGTCGAGATTATCACACGTGACAGAGATCCTCTTTCTCTGCCACGTGTGATTCCACAGCGCGCAGGCCACGATCACTGGGAATATCTTGTGTAGGGCAGAGGAGATGCTCCGGTGGAAAGTAGCGGCCACGCTCGGCAACCCAATGGTCCTGGAAGAATCCCCCAAAACCCACGGAAGGGGCAGCGTCCGTGTAGAAGCGGAGACCTGTAGGGGCAGAGACATGTCGGAGAGGGCCATTGATGTTGCAGGCGCCCTTACGCTTGAAACCTTGGGTTGGAGAGTAGAAATCAGGATAGTAGGAAGGTCGGGAAGGCCGTGTCTCGGACCGCATGAAGGTTGAGTGAGCAATGGTGAAACGCTTACGCAGAGAAGCCATAGAAGGAGAGCAGGAAGATGCTGCGAGGAGGCAGACATGTACTTGGGAGATGAGCCGGAGTTCAGCGCCGCTGCAGGAATGGGCAGCATGATGGGGAGCCTGCGATCAGAAGAGTGAAGAATACAGGTATGGATGCCTTTGATTAGGAGTCCGATTGACGGCTCAGCGCAGCTACTCGGCCAGCTGCATCTGATAGAATCAGAAGATTCAGTAGAGAGATGAAGCATGACCGCCGAAGCGACCCTGGGAGCATAGGTGCGAGTCCAGCGCAGCGCGGCATGCTCAGCCGGGCTGCGTCCATTAGAAGCAGGATAAGCTTCTGAGAGAGTGGGATGCAGCAGTAGCAGTAGCAGCAGCAACCTCAGATAATAACGGCAATAGTCCTGTATTAAGCCGCGACAGTAGCAGCAGCAGCAGCAGCAGCGTCCTTAGAAAATAACAGTAATAATTCTGTACCTAAGCCACAGCAGTAGAAAGTTGTTGTAGCTGTTCAGTGTTTCAGTAAAAGAGATGCAAGTGAAGAGAGATGGCAAAGTAAATGAAGCAGCAGCAGCAGTAGTAGCAGCAGTAGCCGTATGAAGCAGCCGCAGTAGCAGTATGAAGCAGCAGGAGCAGTAGCGGCAGCAGCAGCTGCAGCATCCGTAGATAATAACAGCAATAATCCTGTATCAAAGCCAGAGCAGTAGAATATTATTGTAGCTGTTTAGCGTTTCAGTAAAAGAGATGTGAAGTGAAGAGAGATGTCAAAGTACATGAAGCAGCAGCAGCACGGCAGCAGTAGCAGTATGAAGCAGCAGCGGCAGCAGTAGCAGCAGTAACGGTAGCAGTATGAAGCAGCAGCAGCAGTAGCAGTATGAAGCAGCAGCAGTAGCAGCAGTATGAGGCAGCAGCAGCGGTTGCAGCATCCGTAGACAATAACAGCAATAATCCTGTATCAAAGCCACAGCAGTAGAATATTGTTGAAGCTGTTTAGTGTTTCAGTAAAAGAGATGCGAAGTGAAGAGAGGTGTCAAAGTAAAGAAGCAGCAGCAGCACGGCAGCAGTAGCAGTATGAAGCAGCAGCGGCAGCAATAGCAGCATTAGCGGCAGCAGTAGCAGCAATAGCGGTAGCAGTATGAAGCAGCAGAAGCAGCATTAGCAGGAGCAGTAGCACCACAATGAGATTCATACGAACAACAGACGTGTCACGCCAGCGTGCGCCGCTTGTCTCCGTGAGCCAGGTTACATACGTGTCTGAAAGAGCCAAGCCGTAGAGACAGGTGCCGCCCGGGAGCCCGCGGAGCAGCAGCGGCAGGAACAGCAGCAGCGGCACATGTAGTAGCAGGAGCAGCAGGAGCAGGCAGCAGGAACAGGCGGCAGCAGGAACAGCAGCAGTGGCACATGTAGTAGCAGGAGCAGCAGGAGCAGGCAGCAGGGACAGGCGGCAGCAGGAGCGGCAGCAGGAACAGCAGCAGCGGCACATGTAGTAGTAGGAGCAGCAGGAGCAGGCAGCAGGAACAGGCGGCAGCAGGAACAGCAGCAGCGGCACATGTAGTAGCAGGAGCAGCAGGAGCAGGCAGCAGGGACAGGCAGCAGCAGGAGCGGCAGCAGGAACAGGCAGCAGCGGGAACAGGCATCAGCGGGATCAGGCATCAGTAGGAACGGCAGCAGGGACCGCAGCAGCGGCGGTCAGAGAACCATGCCCACGGTTGTTTAAGAGCCTGAGGAAATAAATCAACCCGAATCCGAAACATTCCCATGCGAAAAACAGATGTCCCCTGGAGCCATCTTGCTGCTTTGGTTGTGGCAGATACGCATGAACCATCACTTTTCCATGCGTTCATAGCTCCAACTCCACTTCAAACCCATTGCAGATTCACATTGGGCCCCTTTTCTTTCTGCTGCACTTTCGAAATGCAACAACTGCAGTTTAGTTACCCAATTTAATACTAGTGACCTAGCTATTTAAATGCATGGCCCCTCCTTCCTCCTGCAGATAGACGAATTTAAATACATTCATTTAACAATAGTGACCTGCGAGTAATGAGATTAATGCTGTAAAAAATGGCGCCGTGGCAAGAGTTCTGGTGTGTGCCGTCTGGAGCACGATGGGTAGTCTTTGCACATTTTTTCCAACGTGGTTTTACTGCAAGTGGCAGAACATGAATCTGAATTGATGCACATTGCTCCTCTTATATCCCTCAGACATTGGAGATTGATGCCATTTAAGATGCATTGTCCCTCAGTTAGCTCAACACGTGTAAAACGGAGCCTGCAACCAAGCACGGGGCGAAAACTGACGCCTGCAGTCAATTGCGTAGGGCAAAAACCAGTCGCCTGCAGCCTAGACTCCGGGATTAATCTGTCCGCGGTCGGCACACTCACTGTACTCACATGCCAGGAGACTTGGGAAAGCAACGGGACAACGCGGCACCGCCAATCGGAGCCAGGGACACGCACGGCACCAGCAGACCACGAGGAACGAGCAGTACAGAAACCGCGGAGGGCCCCGCGGAGCAGCCCGCAGAAGAGCCCGCAGAGGAGGAGAGCAGACCACGAGCAGCCAGACTGAGGACAGCCGGGCCACGCGCACGAGCAATACGTGAGCAGAAGCGACCCCTCCAGAATCCAGAACAACGCATGTATTTGCGAACAGGTGCGTTAGCGACATGCACCTTGCAGGCTTCAGAAGTTTGCAAACTTCAGAAGGCCGGGAAAGTGGGCGTCTCCGGCTTTTAACTTGCTGTCCTGGTGGTTATTGGTGGATTAGATGTGGGCGTTTTGCTGGTGTAATGAGTAGAGGATGAGCAGGCTTGTAGATCTGGCAGCAGTGGCCGGGTCTACCACAGTGAACTTTCGCGAAGAGCTTCATTTGTCTGGATTATGTCCTCCAGGCCTGGATTACGTTGTCTGGATTATGTCCTCCAGGCCTGGATTATGTTGTCTGGATTATGTCCTCCAGGCCTGGATTACGTTGTTTGGATTATGTCCTCCAGGCCTGGATTATGTTGTCTGGATTATGCTTTAGGGAGACGAGGACCGTACTGGGGCCGACCACTGCTACAGGTGTCTCCAGAGATACAGGTGTCTCCAGAAATACATTCTGGGACTTTCAGTTTCAGTTCTTATCCAGACTCTCAAAGTCTCTTCACGTCATAATTTATTCACTCCAAACACAGTGGTGACAAACTACTACTGTAGCCACAGCTGCCCTGGGGCACACTGACAGAAGCAAGGCAACCAGTCTGTGCCTTCAGCCCCTCCCACCACCACTGATTCAATTTTCAACTCAATTTACTCTTATATTGCCCTAAATCACAACAGTATCATCTCAGAGGAATATCCTCTCAGAGGATATTGTTGAAATCCCCAACACAGATCAGAGAATCAACAGTTAAGACACAAGAAAGAATATAGAATACATGGTATTGGACCATAGGTAGAGACCAATGTCCATACATGTTGTGAAATGTTGACACATTGAGAGAGGGATCTGCTCCATACGGACGGACGGCCACGCAGCGGTTAATGGCCAACCCTTCACACACACTGATGTGGCTGAAGTGTCTTGCCAAAGGACACAACCACAGTTTGGCACTTTGCAGCCGCCCCACTGTGGCACCTTGTGATCCCAGAGGTCTTCCCATCACAGCACTAACCAGGCCCTGCCCTGCTTAGCTTAACAGGATGCAGGTATGGTCATGAATCACAGAACATCTCAGTCAACGAGGAGCAGCAGCGGCTCTACTCAAAGCTTCTCCAGGTAAAAAGACAAAACATAGATCTACTCTTTGATAGTCCGGTCTTCCCCCATGGTATTAGTGATGACGGCTCAGTGCACTGGTGCCCCCCAGGACAGGGGGGGGGGGTGTTATATTGATCACATCTGGATGTTTGTCACACAGAAAAGTTTGTGTGTTTTATTGGCTGTAGCTCTCTCTCTGAACTTGCTTTGAAGAAGAAAATGGGTAATATTTTGTATAGACACTAATTTCCCCTGAGAGAGGAGAGAGGAGAGAGAGAGCGAGGAGAGAGAGAGAGGGGAGAGAGAGAGAGCGAGGAGAGAGAGGAGAGGAGAGAGAGAGGGGAGAGAGAGAGAGCGAGGAGAGAGGAGAGAGAGAGAGGGGAGAGAGAGAGAGCGAGGAGAGAGGAGAGAGAGAGAGGGGAGAGAGAGAGAGCGAGGAGAGAGGAGAGAGAGAGGGGAGAGAGAGAGAGCGAGGAGAGAGGAGAGAGAGAGAGGGGAGAGAGAGAGAGCGAGGAGAGAGGAGAGAGAGAGAGGGGAGAGAGAGAGAGCGAGGAGAGAGAGGAGACGAGAGAGAGAGAGAGAGAGAGAGGAGAGGAGAGAGGAGAGAGAGAGCAAGAGAAAGAGAGACACAGAGAGAGATAGAGAGAGAGTTGTGTGTAGGAGGCTGTAATGAAATATCCAAAGCCAATAAAAGACTGGACCAGGATCTACTTTCTCCTTGTTCCTAAACTGCTGTGTTTTAAGAGCATCGACCTCTGAAGGAGCAGAGGAAGAGACGGAATCTATCGACAACACAACAGGACGAACCATTGTTATCGTCTGCAGCATTAAAAAGTCTGCAGTTAAAGAAATAAACCCCTTTATCTCACCATAAAAGTGACGTATCCAACTCTCTAAGGCCAGAATGTATCACGGAGCAGAGAAGAAAGCACTAATCTTCTGCACAGTAAAAACCACACAACAGCTCCAGAGGGACCGTTGGACTCACACTATACATAACATGGAACACATGTGTCGCTCTACTGTTTGACTGTTTCCATGACGACACAGAGAGAGAGAGAAGGTCTGATACAGCGGTTCCTCCAGACCATCGCTGATTATTATAATTATATGTTATTGTATCTATTGATCACATAATGTACACTGTAAAAAGATCAAATATGAGGGGATCATTTTGCTTTGTCCCGTTGGAAAATCTTAATTTAACCAAGTTTGACATATTTTTCATCAGTTTTTACAGTGTGTTGTGAGGGAGTCAGAAATCCCAGTTGTGTTGTAGGGTAGGGTAGGGTAGAGTAGAGTAGAGTAGAGTAGAGTAGAGTAGAGTAGAGTAGAGTAGAGTAGAGTAGAGTAGAGTAGAGTAGAGTAGAGTAGAGTAGAGTAGAGTAGAGTAGAGTAGAGTAGAGTAGAGTAGAGTAGAGTAGAGTAGAGTAGAGTAGAGTAGAGTAGAGTAGGGTAGGGTAGGGTAGGGTAGGGTAGGGTAGGATAGGATAGGATAGGATAGGATAGTACAGGGTAGGGTAGAGTAGGGTAGGGTAGGGTAGGGTAGGATAGGGTAGGGTAGAGTAGAGTAGAGTAGAGTAGGGTAGGGTAGGGTAGGGTAGGATAGGATAGGGTAGGGAAGGGTAGGATAGGACAGGACAGGACAGGGTAGAGTAGGGTAGAGTAGAGTAGGGTAGGGTAGGATAGGATAGGATAGAGTAGAGTAGAGTAGAGTAGGGTAGGGTAGGGTAGGGCAGGGTAGAGTAGAGTAGGGTAGGGTAGGGTAGGGCAGGGTAGAGTAGAGTAGGGTAGGGTAGGGTAGGGCAGGGTAGAGTAGAGTAGAGCAGGGTAGAGTAGAGTAGAGTAGGGTAGGGTAGGGTAGGGCAGGGCAGGGTAGGGCAGGGTAGAGTAGAGTAGGGTAGGGTAGGGCAGGGTAGAGTAGAGTAGGGTAGAGTAGGGTAGGGTAGGGTAGGGCAGGGTAGAGTAGAGTAGGGTAGGGTAGGGTAGGGTAGGGTAGAGTAGAGTAGAGTAGAGTAGGGCAGGTTAGGGTAGGGTAGAGTAGAGTACAGAAGCCCTGCCTTGTAGATTAGGGAGTTACTCACAGCCACATATTTCTTCTTGCCAAAGAAGCACATTCCGATGTTGTTCCACAGGGGGGCGCTCTCGGGCACCGCACTCGCCGCCACACGGTACTTGTTCATTGCTACATCAAAGTCTCCATGAGTCTGCATCATACTGCCTGCTGCTAGGATGGCCTACACACAGACACACGCACACACACACACACACACACACACACCAGAGTTTGGATGAGACCATTTCCACCACATTTACATCTTTCAGGTTTGTGTGTCTCAGCTTATGTTTAACACAGATACTTTTCTTTTACCTCCTGAGTCCAGATAAAATGGGTTTATTTACTCAGATGTGACACATTTACACAGTTCCCATAACATACATCATACATGTACAACTGCAGCAGCTCATACAGTCCCCATAACATACATCATACATGTACAACTGCAGCAGCTCATACAGTCCCCATAACATACATCATACATGTACAACTGCAGCAGCTCATACAGTCCCCATAACATACATCATACATGTACAACTGCAGCAGCTCATACAGTCCCCATAACATACATCATACATGTACAACTGCAGCAGCTCATACAGTCCCCATAACATACATCATACATGTACAACTGCAGCAGCTCATACAGTCCCCATAACATACATCATACATGTACAACTGCAGCAGCTCACCTGTCAATCACTCCACCTGAACGTTTTTGGACCAGTCTAGTTTAGTCGCTGTGGACTTTTGAATGCACTAATTTAATGAATGCGTTTTCTAAACGAGAGACTTCAAAAATGCACAGCGACTAAACTAGACTGGTCCAGAACACTCAGCATTGACACACATGTGGAACGGAGCTTTGGGCCAAGAGACGACTTTTGGACCATCCTGTAAAGACGTTTTCCAGAGGTCTGCCAACGCTATATGTTAGCATTGGCTAATTCTTCTTCTGGGTCCACCCCCACAGGCCCGGGGTGGTACTGCAGAATGTCAGCGCACCTCATTTTGGACACTTTTGAGCCGGGACCCGCCCCCACTGGTTTTTTCACATTTTCCAGTCCAGCGGCCATTTTGAAAAAGTCACAGAAGGAGAAAGTGGTGGTTGACAAACACTAGTTTCAACTCAGGAGATGTACGTGACTTCATCTGTTAATATTTAGATTCTATGAATCGAACCCAGGACCTTCTGTGACACTAAAGCCCAGAATGGTGAGTCTCAGGAGAGAGGAGTTTACTTTTCCATCCACAGGAGCCAGAGAGAAGAGCAGCATCTATACACAGTCTATGGTCCAGGATCCACCAGAACCATGAATAATGCATTCATACTAACAATCACTGTGGTGTCTGTGTCTGCACAACCAACCTTATAATTGCTGGGGTCAAAGGTCAGTGCATTACCCAGATGTTCAAAAGCTTTCTGGTATTTTCCGAGCTGAAACAGAAACACAGATATTTAATGTAACAGTCGAACAGTCGTCCATTATTCATGACCTCACAGTCTTTGATTCTCCTTTTATCTTTTCCTCAACAATACAATACAAAGTTTAGCAAACAAACAAGTTAGAAATGATAAAGTTACACACACAGTGCATACATTTAGTCGGCACCAGTTCAAGTTCTCCCACTGAAAAAGACAAGGGAGCCCTGTAATTTCCATCCTAGATAAACCTGTATCCTGGAGAGGCCTCAGGCTCCACATCACTGCTCTAGAGCAGGGGTTCCCAAAGTTTTTAGCCCGCGACCCCCATCATAAATGCCCTGCTAACCCGCGACCCCCCCAACAGCCCTTCCGTCACATGAAATGAGCATGTATTTCCTTGATACGGAGTAACGCTTTCTAGAGACTCACGCCACTACCGAGCTGCACTGTCCAGCCCAAAAAAGGAGGCTTGCATATTTTTACTCATGTAGTGACACAGTGATGGGCTTGGTGGGCTCCCTCCTCAGCAGAAGTGGAGCGCATTTCTTGCGGCTCGCCCTCACTGTTCTCCTACCGCGGTAAAGTGGGCCGGCTTTCCGGAGTCAGCGGTAAAGAGGTCCGCACATTAAAAGCGGGCGGCCGCTTTCTGCTGTTACTTTATGCAGTTCATCCCCGCGGCTTCTCTTTCCAAAGTTACTGTCAGTAAAGGCATAAACCGGCCACCCGCTTTTAATGTGCGGACCTCTTTACCTTTGACTCCGAAAAGCCGGGTCTCTTTGACGCGCTGTTCTACCGCTGTCCTCCCTCCCTCCGCTGCCCTCTCTCCCTCCTCTGCCCTCTCTCCCTCCTCTGCCCTCTCTCCCTCCTCTGCCCCTCTCTCCCTCCGCTGCCCTCTCTCCCTCTCTCCCTCCTCTGCCCCTCTCCCTCCGCTGCCCTCTCTCCCTCCTCTGCCCTCTCTCCCTCTCTGCCCTCTCTCCCCTCCTCTGCCCTCTCTCCCTCCTCTGCCCTCTCTCCCTCCTCTGCCCTCTCTCCCTCCTCTGCCCTCTCTCCCTCCTCTGCCCTCTCTCCCTCCTCTGCCCTCCCCTCTGCCCTCTCTCCCTCCTCTGCCCTCTCTCCCTCCTCTGCCCTCTCTCCCTCCTCTGCCCTCCCTCCTCTGCCCTCTCTCCCTCCGCTGCCCTCTCTCCCTCCTCTGCCCTCTCTCCCTCCTCTGCCCTCTCTCCCTCCGCTGCCCTCTCTCCCTCCGCTGCCCTCTCTCCCTCCGCTGCCCTCTCTCCCTCCTCTGCCTCTCTCCCCTCCTCTGTCCTCTCTCCCTCCGCTGCCCTCTCTCCCTCCGCTGCCCTCTCTCCCTCCTCTGCCCTCTCTCCCTCCTCTGTCCTCTCTCCCTCCTCTACCCTCCCCCTCCCTCCCTCCTCTGCCCTCTCTCCTCCTCCTCTGCCCTCTCTCCCTCCTCTGCCCTCTCTCCCTCCTCTGCCCTCTCTCCCTCCTCTCCCTCCTCTCCCTCCCCTCTCTGCCCTCTCCTCCCATCTCCCTCCGGTTTCTCTCAAAGGGACTTTAACCCTGAAGCTTCTTCTCAAAGGGACTTTAACCCCCCGAGACTTCTCTCAAAGGGACTTTAACCCTGAGACTTTCTCAAAGGGACTTTAACCCCGAGGCTTTCTCAAAGGGACTTTAACCCCGAGACTTTCTCAAAGGGACTTTAACCCCGTCAGGCTTTCTCAAAGGGACTTTAACCCCGAGACTTCTCAAAGGGACTTTAACCCCGTGACTTTCTCAAAGGGACTTTAACCCCGTCAGGTAGCGACGAACCTGTTTTTAATCTAATCTGATCTATAGATACATGACATTTGGCAGACCTTAAAACAGACCATAATTTAGTTCACTCAATTAGCAGACTTTGAATAAACAGGTGTCCGCTCTTACCTTTTGTCGAACAGGGCCCAGGTACCGTCAAAAGTCCACCAAATATCAGCTTTTCCACGTCCAACCAGGTCTCCAGATCATGAACCAGCGCTCACTAGTACCGGGAACTAGCTTCCATCGGCAGAGACCAATCACCCGTCAAAAATCCCCGGAATGCGGACATGGGAAAACAATTTGAAACGCTAAGTCCAAAAAACAGGACACAAAAAAAAATATAGTGAGACAGCGAAAAAGAGTCCCGGAGCCGGTCGCCTCTCCAGCCTGCTGGACCGCTCCCAGGCCCCAGACACTCTCAGCTCTCCCACGCCGAGAAAAAGAAACAAAGCAAACTCCCTCAAAACAATCCAGAGAATGGCACAAACCGAGCCGCGCATTCTCCACCAAATCTGTTAGGATTTAAGCAGACAGAGACGGATCGTGGTGTGCCAAACTCTGGAAGTTTATTTAAGTTGCTCTCAAGTTCCACTAGTTTACTCTGTTTCTTTTCCTCAGACAGAATAAAGGCAGTACACAGTTTATATAGTCATTGTCACGTCACACATCGAAAGACATACGTGTCACAAAGAGACAGTCACATCATAGTCATAACATGGAGTCCTTGTAGAGTCCTTGTACAGTCCTGCACGTAGGCCATATTGCTATCTAATACTAACAGACAGTTGTAAAGTGCTTGGTGACTCTGGTCTGTGAAAGGTGCTATATGAATAAAGATGACTTACTTTGTCTTCCTCATGTGTGGCTCTGCAGGGTGTGGTCAGTCTGAGGTCCAGCCCCGGATCGTAGGAGGGTCTGACACCAAACCCGGGTCCTGGCCCTGGATCGTGGCCCTGGCGTACAGATATAAGGGCTTCCCCGTGCAGTACTGTGGAGGCTCCCTCATCAGCGACCAGTGGGTCCTCACCGCCGCACACTGCTTCGACCCCCCAGGGTGAGAACCAGTGACATCACACACCAGTGACATCACACACCAGTGACTTCACACACCAGTGACATCACACACCAGTGACATCACACACCAGTGACATCACACACCAGTGACATCACACACCTGTGACTTCACACACCAGTGACTTCACACACCAGTGACATCACACACCAGTGACATCACACACCAGTGACATCACACACCTGTGACATCACGGCACGGTGGCTGAGTGGATAGCACTCTCGCCTCTCAGCAAGAAGGTCCTGGGTTCGAATCCCGGTCGGACCAGGGCCTTTCTGAGTGGAGTTTGCATGTTCTCCCCGTGTCTGCGTAGGTTTCCTCCGGGTACTCCGGTTTCCCCTACCACTAAAAATATGTCCAATAGTTCTAGCATGCGCCTCCTGTACTGGCGACCCCGCTCCCATCTCTATGTGGAGTGAGAGACTAATGCACAAAAAATTAACAATTGTAAACCGCTTTGAGACTCAGATCTGCAGTGAAAAGGCGGTATATAAATAAATACTTACTTACTTACTATCACACACCAGTGACATCACACACCTGTGACTTCACACACCAGTGACATCACAAACAATACGGCGACAGCTCCTTCCGTGACCATACCACGGGGTGAAAGCTAGATCCCGTCAGATCTCTGAAGCTAAGAAAGGCAGAGCATGGTAAGTACTGTGATGGGAGACCTCTGTGAACACCAGGTGCCACCGCGGGGCGTCTGGAAAGTGCAAAGACACTAGATTAAGTGCGTGTGTGTGTGTGTGAATGGTTGGTGTTGGTGGGAGGGCTACAGAGTCCAGCATCAACGGAGCCCACCCTGGTCTCACGAAGCCCACCCTGGTCTCAAGAAGCCCACCCTGGTCTCACGAAGCCCACCCTGGTCTCACGAAGCCCACCCTGGTCTCATGAAGCCCACTCTGGATATATAATAATAATAATAATTCATCTGTTTTATAGAGCGCTGAATCCGCTTGTATGTAGTGGCAACCAATCAGGGAGCAGCAAAATCGTCAGGAGGACACAAGCCGGTCGAAACAGGAAGAAGAAGACACACGAAAACAACCAAAACACGAGCAAAACCAGGAATAAACCAGGAATAAACGTGGAATAAACCAGGACTACCCCAGATGAATCCACAGTGCGGCTGAAATCTAGTGAACGTGCCTCTAAAACGCACGGACGGAGTGTCGATGTCGTGGGGACTCCCCTCAGTCTCATTCTACATTTAGACTGTTTCTGTGAACTCAGGGCTCGACAGTGAAGAACTCTGCTCCAGCCACAGGTTTTTTGCTCTCAAAGTGAAAAGTCCAACGCTCAAACCCGATCTCCACAGTCCACTAAAGCCGCTACTGGTTTTCTCCAGAGAAAAGCGCAGTTTTTTTTCCCAAAACGGTTATGCTCCTCGACAATCATGAGACAGACCCAGTAAGTTTTCAAACCTGAGAGAATCATGCCAGTGAGGACATGTGTGTGTCACATGGGGAAATGAAGAAAAAGGGAACCCAAAATGCAGGACAGAAAATCAAATGTAATTTAATAAAATTAAAATCCAGAGTGACAAAAAACACAAAAATCCAAAAAGTTCAGGACGACAAGGAACACTAAAATCCCTTTATGAGACCTTTTCGAGAGCTGTCAGGTTCTCTATCAGGTTCTCCGTCAGCTGAGGTCAAGCTGTTTAACTTTACAACAAGTCCTATGGGACATTTTTCTGTATAGCCCACGTGAATTTAGTCTGCAGTACCACAGCGCCCCCTGTGTCCATGGATGGGACAGCTGTATGCTAGTAATACTCTATCCAGTTATTATAATAGATCCATGGTTGTTCCTCAGCCCAGAGAACAGCACGATGGTACATCTGGGTCGCCACTCGTGGGAGTATGAGAACGTGTCGTCAGAGGAGGTTCGCTGGATCCGCTCCAGACACTGCCATACTCACTACAACCAAAGCGGAGACATGGAGAACGACATATGCCTCCTGCAGCTGTCCGCCCCAGTGGCCTTCAGCGACCGCATCCGCCCCATCTGCCTCCCGGCCCAGGGCAGCACTTTCCCGGCCGGTCAACCCTCCTGGGTCGCAGGCTGGGGATCACTACAAGAAGGTTAGTACCAGACCTGGGATCATACCAGAGAGAGAGCGGAGAGAGAGAGAGAGCAGTGAGAGAGAGAGCAAAGAGAGGGATCAGAGAGACCAGAGCGAGAGGCCAGAGAGAGAGATCAGAGAGACCAGAGAGAGAGAGAGATCAGAGAGAGAGAGATCAGAGAGACCAAAGCGAGAGGCCAGAGAGAGAGAGAGATCAGAGAGACCAGAGCGAGAGGCCAGAGAGAGAGATCAGAGAGACCAGAGAGAGAGAGATCAGAGAGACCAGAGCGAGAGGCCAGAGAGAGAGAGAGATCAGAGAGACCAGAGCGAGAGGCCAGAGAGAGAGAGAGATCAGAGAGACCAGAGCGAGAGGCCAGAGAGAGAGAGAGAGATCAGAGAGACCAGAGCGAGAGGCCAGAGAGAGAGAGAGATCAGAGAGACCAGAGCGAGAGGCCAGAGAGAGAGAGAGATCAGTGAGACCAGAGCGAGAGGCCAGAGAGAGGACTACACTTGCATCAGCGTAGTCCATTTATTTACTGTGTGTGTGTGTGTGTGGTGCAGGGGGAGATTACCCAGAGGTCCTGCAGGAGGTGATGTTGCCCATCGTGGGGATAAACGAGTGCCGCTGCCTGAACGAGATTTCCGTCCCCGAGAAAACCATCTGTGCCGGGTTCAGAGAGGGCCAAAAGGACACCTGCCAAGTGAGACACAGTTAGGGCTACTACTCTTTTCATCAGAATTACAGTTTTTGCAGTCGCTTTAGTGCTTTTCTCAGATCAGACTATTAGTTTAACCTCCTCAACATTGGGTCATGTGTGACATCATCGCAGCAGTTTCTCCTTTGAACAGATTACAAATGCTTTTGGACATGTGTCAGTTACTTTCATACAATTCTCTGCTGTTTTATAACATTATCATTTGTCAAAATTTGACGGCTTTCAGTTTTGGAAGTGCTTGCGTTCTTGGAGAAACTTGAACTTGCCTCTTTCCTCAGGGGGACTCGGGGGGCCCTCTGGTGGTCTGGATGCCTTCCGCCTGGGTGCAGGTGGGGGTGGTGAGTTCCGGTGAAGGCTGTGCCCGTGAAGACCGCCCCGGTCTCTACGCCCTGGTGTCCGCGTACCAGGACTGGATCAGCGAGGTGTTGGAGGCGGCCGGCTCCATGGACCAGCCCAAGTTTGTGCCCTACAACCCCCCGGACGAGGACCTGGACCTGGACTACGTTTGCCAGAACATGAGCCTGTCTTACTACACCGACTCGGTGATGGACGGGGGCACGGACACATTCGGCTCTGTGCTGAGTGTGATGGTGCTGAGCGCAGTTACAATAGTGCTGTTAGATTAAAGCTCAGGTACGTCACTTTCAGAGCACGACAATAGAACTCGGTCATAAAGTCCATGTCTCTGGTTCCTGGCTCCTGGCTTTAAAACTGTTGCTTCCATCACTAGTTTGTGTGTGTCACATATTTTGATCAGCCCAAAGAGTCAAAAAGTGACTCACAGGGATCTTTCTAATATAAAAGGTAACATGTTTTCTATAATGCATTGTTTTAATATAGTGCTTTTCAGGACGCTCATATACACGCTTCATTCTCTCCAAACACAGTGGTGAAAAACTACTACTGTAGCCACAGCTGCCCTGGGGCACACTGACAGAAGCGAGGCAACCAGTTTGTGCCATCTGCCCCTCCCACCACTACCAACCATTCACACACACACCAGACTCTCTCTAATGTGGGTGAAGTGTCTTGCTTAAGGACGCCCCACTGTGGCACCTGCTGTTCCCAAAGGTCTCCCATCACAGTACTAACCAGATCCTGCCCTGCTCAGCTTCAGAGGTCTTTCACATGCAGCTATGTGAGAAAAACAGAGAAGAGTAGACAGCATGTTGTGTTCTGATTCTGCACATTTTTGTGACCCATAAACACAAGAAAAAAAATGTCTGAAAGACCACAACAAAGTAACTGTGAAGTGAAAGAGAGATGCATATTTTTTTTTAAATCAAAAAATAAAATTGTGGCAACAGTATTCATACAACATGCTCTAATTTCCTCTACTCTACTCTTCTCAGCTCAACCCTGCTCTACTCTACTCTACTCTACTCTACTCTACTCTACTCTACTCCACTCTCGCATCTCAGCAAGAAGGTCCTGGGTTCGAATCCTGGTCGGACCAGGGCCTTTCTGAGTGGAGTTTGCATGTTCTCCCCGTTTCCTCCGGGTACTCCGGTTTCCCCTACCACTAAAAATATGTCCAATAGTTCTGGCATGCGCCTCCTGTTCTGTCCCCGCTCCCATCTCTGTGTGGAGTGAGAGACAAATGCCCAAAATTAACAATTGTAAACCGCTTTGAGACTCAGATCTGCAGTGAAAAGGCGGTATATAAATAAAGATTACTTACTACTCTACTCTACTCTACTCTACTTTACTCTACTCTAATCAGCTCTGCTCCACTCTAGTCTACTCTTCTTGGCTCTACTCTACTCTACTCTTCTCTACTCTACAAAATACCAGTATCCTTAGAAATGTACCAGTATCACTTTCATTCACCAGGGCCAAACTGGTACTTAAAAAATACCTGATACCGGTTAAACAGGGCCAGTACATACTCCCTATCAGGGTAGAGTAGAGTAGAGTAGAGTAGGGCCAAGTAGGGCTGGTTGAAACGAGGCTCAACGTGTAAAACATAAAAAAGAGGCTAAGTAAAACCTGGTTCATCAACAGAAAGTCAAAACACCATCACTTTGTCCAAACTCTTTTCGAGCAATATTATTCTGTGTATTTTGTGTCTTGTTTTTTTTTAAGTTGCAAGAAATATAAACTTTCAACATTTCGCCACATTTCAGGCTTCAAACATAAATATATACCATTTTAATTTTTTGTCATGAATCAACAACAAGTGGGACACAATCGTGAAGTGGAACGAAATTTATTGGATAATTTAAACTTTTTTAACAAATAAAAAACTGAAAAGTGGGGCGTGCAATATTATTCGGCCCCTTTACTTTCAGTGCAGCAAACTCAGTCCAGAAGTTCAGTGAGGATCTTTGAATGATCCAATGTTGTCCTAAATGACTGATGATGATAAATAGAATGCACCTGTGTGTAATCAAGTCTCCGTATAAATGCACCTGCTCTTTGATAGTCTCAGGGTTCTGTTTAAAGCGCAGAGAGAACCATGAAGACAAAGGAACACACCAGGCAGGTCCGAGATACTGTTGTGGAGAAGTTTAAAGCCTGATTTGGATACAAAAAGATTTCCCAAGCTTTAAACATCTCAAGGAGCACTGTGCAAGCAATTATATTGAAATGGAAGGAGTATCAGACCACTGCAAATCTACCAAGACCCGGCCGTCCCTCCAAACTTTCATCTCAAACAAGGAGAAGACTGATCAGAGATGCAGCCAAGAGGCCCATGATCACTCTGGATGAACTGCAGATAACTACAGCTGAGGTGGGAGAGTCTGTCCATAGGACAACAATCAGTCGTGCACTGCACAAATCTGGCCTTTATGGAAGAGTGCCATTTCTCAAAGATATCCATAAAAAGTCTCGTTTAAAGTTTGCCACAAGCCACCTGGGAGACACACCAAACATGTGGAAGAAGGTGCTCTGGTCAGATGAAGCCAAAATCGAACTTTTTGGCCACAATGCAAAACGATATGTTTGGCGTAAAAGCAACACAGATCATCACCCTGAACACACCATCCCCACTGTCAAACATGGTGGTGGCAGCATCATGCTTTGGGCCTGCTTTTCTTCAGCAGGGACAGGGAAGATGGCTAAAATTGATGGGAAGATGGATGGAGCCAAATACAGGACCATTCTGGAAGAAAACCTGTTGGAGTCTGCAAAAGACCTGAGACTGGGACAGAGATTTATCTTCCAACAGGACAATGATCCAAAACATAAAGCCAAATCTACAATAGAATGGTTCACAAATAGACGTATCCAAGTGTTAGAATGGCCAAGTCAAAGTCCAGACCTGAATCCAATCGAGAATCTGTGGAAAGAGCTGAAAACTGCTGTTCACAAACGCTCTCCATCCAACCTCACTGAGTTCGAGCTGTTTTGCAAGGAAGAATGGGCACGAATTCCAGTCTCTCGATGTGCAAAACTGATAGAGACATATCCCAAGCGACTTGCAGCTGTAATTGCAGCAAAAGGTGGCGCTACAAAGTATTAGCGCAAGGGGGCCGAATAATATTGCACTTTTTCAGTTTTTTATTTGTTAAAAAAGTTTAAATTATCCAATAAATTTCGTTCCACTTCAAGATTGTGTCCCACTTGCTGTTGATTCTTGACAAAAAAATATTTTTTTATATCTTTATTATCTTTATGTTTGAAGCCTGAAATGTGGCGAAATGTTGAAAGGTTCACGGGGGCCAAATCTGAGCCAAAAGTAAGAGAGGCTGATGTTATAGCAGACTAATGGACTAATTATTATTGTTATTATTATGAATTTTGTGGGTCTGGGGTACAATATTTAGAAAATAGATAGATGGATGTAAATAAGTAAGTATTTATAATGTTCTCAATATTTTTCTGTGGTAGAATTAATAAACAAAGTCTTCAGTCTCTTTGTCAAGTTACTGTGTTTATGTGAAAACTGTCATGTAAAATTATAAAAGTGTAATTTCCCACTTCCAGCACTAGATGGGGCTGTAGCTCATCCTGGTCATTTCTTATTCAATAAAACACTTATTTTATCTTTAACAGTTTGTCTCCAACATGACGCCAAAGTCATGCTGGATCTTTATATCGGTGTTGTCCTCTCTCTAGCGCCCCCTCTGGCCTTGGCCTGAAACAACAGAACACAGTTGTTAGAAGTCAAGTGGGTTGTTGCTGTGATTGGTGCAGCACAAAGTCTGGGAGGCGGGCAGTCTCCATATTTGGATAGAAGGATTGTGAAATGGTTCTGGTCCCAGGGGAATGTACTAGCAGCGTTTCCACCACAAGAACTTCAGGGTAAGCATGGAGTACCGGAGTGGCTAATGAGTTTCGCTCATGCGGCAAACAAAACTCATGATGCCGCCGAGAGGTCCTGCTGCAATGGAGACACGGACACAGAGAGGACCACAGAGAGGACCACAGAGAGGACCACAGAGAGGACCACAGAAAGGAGCACAGAGAGGACCACAGAGAGGACCACAGAGAGGACCACAGAGAGGACCACAGAGAGGACCACTGATAGGACCACTGAGAGGACCACAGTGAGGACCACAGAGAGGACCACAGAGAGGACCACTGATAGGACCACAGAGAGGACCACAGTGAGGACCACAGAGAGGACCACAGTGAGGACCACAGAGAGGACCAGTGAGAGGACCACAGTGAGGACCACAGAGAGGACCACTGAGAGGACCACAGTGAGGACCACAGAGAGGACCACAGAGAGGACCACTGAGAGGACCACTGTGAGGACCACTGTGAGGACCACTGAGAGGACCACTGAGAGGACCACTGAGAGGACCACAGTGAGGACCACAGAGAGGACCACTGAGAGGACCACTGAGAGGACCACTGTGAGGACCACAGAGAGGACCACTGAGAGGACCACTGAGAGGACCACAGTGAGGACCACAGAGAGGACCACTGAGAGGACCACAGAGAGGACCACTGAGAGGACCGAGGGAGAGGAAGGTAGTAGTCGAAGTAGTAGTACAGTGCAGTAGCAGAAGTAGTATTGATAGGAGTACCTTGCTGCAGCAGTAGTAGCAGTAGTGATACAGTGCAGTAGCAGCAGCAGTAGTAGTAGTAGTAGTAATAGCAGCAGTAGTAGTAGTAGGCGCAGGCAGTAGTAGTAGTAGTAGTCGTCGTCGCAGCAGTATGAGTAGTAGTAGGAACAGTAATAGTAATAGTCATAGTAGTTGCAGTAGCAGTAGTAGTAGTAGTCGCAGTTGTACCTTGCAGTAGCAGTAGATCATTGGGATGCACACAATCTTTAGTAATAACAGGACCACGACTCTGATGATGAAGTCTGAGTCTCGAACTGAGAAAGAAACAAAAAGAACATCAGGAGTGCTCACTGCTGACACGTTTTCAACCCAACATCACAAAAATACTTATCATTACTCATATAAAAACACATACTGTACCTTCTGCTATCCACACAGTCTGTACTTTGTGTTGGCCACAGAATCAAATGTGTGCCTTCAGCGGTCTCGTGCTTTGGGCTCAAAAGTGTGGTCGTGTTTTCTAGAAATCGTCGGAACATGTGATGGAGACATGAGGCCAGTAGGGGGCGTGGTCTCTATAGCCGTAATGTAAGCAGTGTGATATGTATCTGTGATTGAGGAACGTGTATTTCAAAGGCATCTGTTTCAGTCAGGATTGTACCAAAATATTTACTCAACAATATTTAAGGTCCCAATGAATGAATTCCTAGTTTATTCCTGTTTATTCCCAACAAAGTCTGGTAATTCACTTAAAGGAGGATTTTCCCAAAATTGACGATAGATAGTGAAAACTCCCAGGTTTAGAGGAGTGCATCACAGACAAAGAAGAGCTCCTAGAATAATCAATGACTCTTCTGGCCCCTGGAAAAGCCTTGTTCCAGCTTCTTCCCTCTGGCAGAAGATATTGTTCGCTGAGATGCACAACATCTCGATATGCTAACAACTTCTTCCCACAAGCTGTTATCAGTTTGAACAAAACACTTTAATGTTCTTGTATTGAAACTGTTTTAGTCGATCGATTTCACAGTGACACTTGTTTACTGTCTTTGTTTTATTCCTGTACTTTTGTTGTTATATGTATGTACAGTACTTGTCTTGTGCACACTGGGGACTTTTAAAAATGTATTCCAATGTGGTTATACTGCAAATGGTAAATAAAATGAGTATCAATCTGAATCTGAAAGCCGCCCTCTCCACTTTTTGAACAAGAAGTTCTCTTATTTGACGAGCACGTATCCTTTATACCTTTAAAGTCATTAGTTCCCGTGGAAAGATTCCATCTTTGAAACTGAAAGACGTGATGTAAATGCAGTGAGGACCTGATGGAGACACGTACCTCCCAGCCTCAGCTCCAGTCCCTCGCTCTCGGAGGAGAAGCTGTGGTTGAACACCTGTTGGTGGTAAACACAGGTGTAGTCTCCTTTGTGGGCGGGGCCAGTGTGGTTGAACAGGAAGTGTGTAGAGTGATTGACAGCAGGCAGGGTTTGGTTCCCAGTGGGAGAGAGCAGCTGGAAGGAGCCTCCTGAGAACTGAGGCTTCACCGAGCACTGGACCAGGAACTGAGACCCCAACAGGACCCTCAAGGACCGAGCCTCGATCTGGGACACCCCCACAGTCACCGAGAGGGTCAGGGTGGGACGCTCCAGTAAACCTGAGGACACACAACTGCACTGATCAGACTGAGGACACACAACCACACTGTTAAGACTGAGGACACACAACCACACTGATCAGACTGAGGACACACAACCACACTGTTAAGACTGAGGACACACAACCACACTGATCAGACTGAGGACACACAACTGCACTGATCAGACTGAGGACACACAACCACACTGTTAAGACTGAGGACACACAACCACACTGATCAGACTGAGGACACACAACCACACTGTTAAGACTGAGGACTCACAACCACACTGATCAGACTGAGGACACACAACCACACTGATCAGACTGAGGACACACAACCACATTGATCAGACTGAGGACACACAACCACACTGTTAAGACTGAGGACACACAACCACACTGTTCAGTCTGAGGACACACAACCACACTGTTCAGTCTGAGGACACACAACCACACTGACACACAACCACACTAACGCACAATCACACTGATCAGACTGAGGACACACATAAATATAAAGATAATAAATATCACACATTATTTATAAAAATATTAACTTCACAATTCCATGTTTCAGGAGGTGAAATATTATCTTCAGTTAAAAATCTAAGGTGAAACAAGTATAAAAGTAAACTATGCAAACTCCCTTTGCTGCCACCAGAGGGAGCTGCAGACACAGACCTGTCATTGTAAAGATCGTCAATTCACTAAAATGACCAAATCTAATTTATGGGCAATACTTTTGTTTTTAAAAGGCAGAAAACTGCTCTAAGTGTGATCAAAACCTCCAAAATAATGAATATATATAAATAAATAAATGTTCAAGGGAATTGTCATATAATTATATTATATATTGTCACATATATACAAATTTATGTATAGATTTATTTATTAATATATGTATTATTTTGGCAGTGTTAGTCCTCCAAAGCACAATGACATCATACTATTCTTGGGTTTAATTAAACTGGCCTGTAGGGGGCGAATGACCAGAGATGGGAAAGTTTCACTCCTATTGAAAACCACGTAAAGTCTGTTTTGGAGTCAAAGGCTCTCCTCCTGTGAGGTGTACGGTTGTTGGAACAGTCTTAATCGGGGACACTCAATTTTAAGGGAGTACTAAAAAATATATCTCAAAAGAGTCTTGATTTTGTGCATTTTTGGAAAAAATAACAGATGAAATTGCTGCGTTTCATTGTGGTGGCCTGCAGGGGGGCGCTTATCTGGGAAAGCCTTGATCCACCTCGCCCGCCTCATTCCAGTGCTTTTTTGAAAGTGTTCTCCTTTATATGAGACCACAGTTGGAACATGAACAAACTCTGGTCTTTCTCTCTATTTGTGCGGTTGCTACAAACGTACACCGCACACAAAGATGCCATTTTGACTGAAGACTGCTACACTTCTTCTACTATATCTCTGTGTATATACCCGGCGGACTGCACCGCCGTCCTGTCCCACGTATGTCATTCGCGCCCAGACGTCATATGAAACCCAGGACTGAGAAAGGAGCTTTGAGACAGAAGGGGCGGAGCTACAAGTTTGTGTTGAAGTTACTGATATTTGCATGGATTGATCTAAAAAAACAGCTGCAGGTCTGTGAGTGATGAGGATCCTGCAGAATGAATCCAGACGTCTGTTACCTGAACACACCACCCTGAAGCCCCATGAGGTGGACTGCAGCTCGTTACCGGCACAGTCTTTGATGTTGTTGTTTCTCTTCACACACTCTACTGACAGGTCCAGTGCCCGGGAATCAAAGCCGTCTGTGTATTCGGCAAAAACAGCGGTGCCACAGTCCAGATTCCTGCACACAGTGAATCTAGGACCATCGTCCCAGTGTCTCTCTTCATTAAAGGGCAACAGACGAGTCATCTTCCCTTTGTGTCTGAGCTCCAACACCCCGTCACAGCGGCTCCAGCCTCCCTGCAGCCGCACACCTGAACACACAAGAAATACTTACAGCTTTGTGACCTGATGTGTGTAGTTTGGTCCAACAGTTGGAGTGTGACACCGTAGTGTTTGGTGAAAGTGGAAGAAGCTGATTTGAACAGGCATGATCTAAAACAAGTTTGGATTTGTTTTTAACTTATGGCTCCAGACAATTGTCCTTTGGCAGAAAAGCAAAAGTAGCAGACCCCTGATATATGTGTGTGTGTGTGTATGTTTATGTGTGTGTGTGTGTGTGTGTGCGTGGGTGCGAGCTCTTATCTTAGCACTTTTGAGGCATTCCTTGATATTAAGAAAATTCATTAGAACTGTGTGGTTCTGTAAAATTAGTCAAAACATGGCCGCTACGTGTAGACTCTGCTAAACTGTACTTTTTATTGTTTTATTTCCTGAAAATATTTTATTTAAATGTGGAACGGAGACTTTAAATTTTTAATGTAAATATTTAATTTGTTTATTGTACTGTATTTTACTTATATTTAGGTTTCAATACTTTTCAAAACCCGACTAAACACAAATGATTGATAAACTTGAGTAACTTTGATGAGCACCTGCTTTAATTTTAAATACTTAAAAAATAAAACCTTTTTTTCTGATGCAGGAGAACGAGGCTCTCAGTCTGAAACTCACCGCTGGAAGTCGGAGAAGAAAGTGGAGACGGCTCCACCATAGAACACTCGTAGTTTAGCTGGGTATAAAGTTTGAAAGCGATAGCCTTGAGTGCCCTTCTCACTTGATTGTAAGCTTTGCATTTGAAGATAATATCACTTGGGTAATCTTGATCGAAGTATACACGTCTTCCTTTGAATTGAATATTACCTTAACGCCACGCTGAGCGGAGCACCAACTCTTTCGTCTTAAACTCTTGGAAGTAGATCACTATGGACCTGGGGTTAGCGCCTTGTGGGGGCTTGGGGCCGAGTGAGCGGTGACATCGCTGAATGAATAGGTTTACTTCGGGGGAGGGCAAGTTCCGTCTTAATAAAAGTCTCCATAAATGTTTGAATGCTTGTTCCCTCTACCTCCTCCACAATTCCATGGACTCTGATATTGTTTCTGCGTGCCCGGGACTCGATGTCAGTCAGCCTTGTTTGTAGCTCGAGCTGTAGTTGTAGCGTGTGCTCCAGTGCGTCTTTGACATCAGCACTGAACTCCTCCATGTCCGCCACTCTCTGCTCGGCTTCCTCAACTCTCTGTGTGACGCCATTTAAGTCTGCGTTAAGACCTTCCAGTCTTCCGACAATTTCCACTCTAAAACCGCTCACCTCAGTCTTAAGAGTGTCGATTTTATCATTAAACTCTCTTTTGATGTCATCCTGGATATTCTTCAGCGCTGCCAAAATGTTAGCTTGGATAGCATCCATAGTCACGTTTTCGGCTAACTTGCTAGCATCAGGATTAGCTTCAGCAATTTTCGCGGCTGTAGAATCTTCTTTCGCAGTTTCTTCTACAGTTGCTCTAGTCTTCTTCTTAGAACCCCCTGACATATTTATGACAACTTTTAACTCGTCTGTAGCAGCTTTTTTATCAGGGGGTTAACTGACCGTCGAGGAGCTAAGTAATTATGCTGCCGCTCGCCTCCTCCCGGGTTAGGGTGGGACTTCCTCACGGAAGTTCCACAAAAGCTAATTTGTTAAACAAAAGTAATTGTGCTAAAATGATCATCTCTACGTTTTTTTTTTTTTTTTTCAAATCCAAATGCGCTATTTTAATGCAGAGAAATCCATTGAATCTGATGCTCTGCAAGCGCCGAGAAAAGTGCTTAGGGAGCGTCAACAAATGTCCAGACCAGCTTTGTAAACGAACAATAGCTTTTACTGAAGCCATGTACACGCACGAAACTCTCAGACAAAATAAATAATGACCATGTCTAACTGCTACAGACTTTGATTTCAACATTTGTGATGTTTTATTTTAATGAATACATGTTTTTCTTTTTTTATTTGCTTTAACAGTAAATGGTCTTTAATGGTTTTTTTTTTTTATGACTAAAAAGCATGCATTAAGTCCTTAACTAGCCAAAGAGTTCCACCTATTTATTAAATTTCATTTTTGACTAAGGATTTGTTTTTTATACGTAGTCAATTACATTCTAAAAACTGTGATTACGAAATTCCAGATTACTGTGTAGATTGAAATTAGTATTAAAAAGTGCCCAACGCAATCCACCAAATGGTGTCCCTTATTTTTTTGTTCTCAAGTTGGCAACCCTACACACAAACAGATACAAACTCACACACAGACACACAAAGAGACACACACATATACACTCACATACACTGATCCAAACAATCACACACAGACACACAATCGCAAACACAAAGACAGACAGTAACTCACTCGGGTCTTCTTCCAGATCACTGATCAAGTCTCCCACACAAGAGCGCCCTCTGCTGTTAGAGCTTCATGCAGGTTCAAACGTTTCCCAGAGCAACAGGTGATTGGGATTAGATCAAAGATGTTCGTTATCTGAGTGTGAGTAGTGGACCACACTCTACTGCAGACTAAATTCACCAGCGTGACCTCTGGGGGCGGGTCCATGAGCACGTGCACATGTTGCTCCTTGCCGGTGGGGGTGTACCCGGAAAGAGAATTATCCATTAAGTTCTTGTGATGTCTTTTATATTTATATTATTTGGACCAGTCTAGTTCAGCCTCTGTGGACTTCAGAATACACTCGTTAAATGAGTGGGGCTCGTGCAGGTTAACATTTTCACATTTTCCTGGGGGAGGGGCTGTCCGCGGCCATTTTGAATCTGCGCATGTCTGTGGCACAAACGTTTCAACGGAGGAAATAGGCGTCACTACTTCTGTTAATATTTTGGCTGCGGTCACGTGCACAGCCTAAAGCCCGGTTAAAGTGTGCCAGGACCCACTTCGCGATTAGATCCGGGCTTTAGGTGCAATGTGACCGCGTCAACTGGGCTTGGCAGGTGGTGGGGAGTGGGGGATGAGGTGTGGTGGGGACTTGATATTGTGCGTCACATTGCGTCTTCTGTTGTGATGCACATTTTCACACATCTCTCCTGCACTTTCGTATTCTCCGCTTGTGTTAAACCTTTCATATAAGCCCCGTGGTCGAGGGGCGCAGGGGGGTGTGTGGCTGCAGGGCCAAAGGGAAAGGTTTCCTACGGGAATAACTCTCCGTTCTGACCCTCGTTATCAGTGTGGTGCTATTGCAATAACTCTTCAGACATTCAAGAATCAGTCTTTATTTAATCGCCAGAACACACACACACACACACACTTGTATCCTGCCTGGCTCCGGCTGCTCCGTTCGTACGCCATACTTTTCATTCTTTCACTTTCATTCATTCAATTCTCAGCGCTTTTACGCTTGTCACTAAAGAGTGTGTGTGTATGTCTGCACTCGTGTCTGTGGCACACACACACACATGTTACCCACTGAACTGCTGCACTTTGCAGCAGAGCAATGTGGATAATTATGAGATGTGTCTTTACTTAAAGTAATACTAGAATTGAATATGCTGCTATCCAGAATATATAACTACAATATGTGTTTGTAATATTTCGGGAGTTCATTTTGACATGTTTTTCCATCAAAAACGGCTTTGAAGTAGCACTTTTTCACTTCCGCATAGAAACGCTAGGGGGCGCCAAAATGGCGGCGATGACGTAGGAGAATGACCTCTCACAGCAGCAGCAGCAGTCTGGGCTGAATCTGTAGGAGGTTTCACTGTCATCTGAACAAGGTATAAACATATTTTCATCCGTTTTGTACATAATAGTGCGCAACTCTTTTAACCTTTCAGCCTTATTTGTGAGATTCAAGCTAGTTAGTGTTGGGAAAGTTAGCTAACTCTACTTGATATCATAAAACATGCTAACAAGGCTAATATTCGTTTTTACATTATGCCAGTCTCACTTTGGTTATATGGAGGACTAAAACTGTCCAAATTATTAATAAATGAATAAATAAATAAATGTCACATTATTATTGATAAGATAACACACCAAATCATGATATTTAATAAATATATACTATTATTATTATACAACGTTTTTTGGTTCCAAACAAAATAATAAAGCTTTATTATTTTTCTGTTCATTCAAAGGTCAAGATTAAAATAAATATATTTTTATTACTTAACTGCAGCTTTGTGCCCAAAGAAATAATAAAATCTAATTTTCTTCTTTCCCCGTGTATTTATTTTCTTAATATTTTTATTCATATTGATGTTCTGTTTTATTATTTCACGACACATTCCTTTCTCGTGTCTTGAAAATTAAATGCAAATGAAGGGGGCGGAGCTACAGAAAGTTAGACCAAAGCAGTCTATCATCAGAGATCAGCTGCATACATACGTTTCCTTGATATCTCTCCATTCCCCACAGTGTGAGGAGGTCTGACCCACAGTGTGAGGTCTGACCTACAGTGTGAGGTCTGACCTACAGTGAGGAGGTCTGACCTACAGTGTGAGGTCTGACCCACAGTGAGGAGGTCTGACCTACAGTGTGAGGAGGTCTGACCCACAGTGAGGAGGTCTGACCTACAGTGTGAGGTCTGACCTACAGTGAGGAGGTCTGACCCACAGTGAGGAGGTCTGACCTACAGTGTGAGGTCTGACCTACAGTGTGAGGTCTGACCCACAGTGAGGAGGTCTGACCTACAGTGTGAGGAGGTCTGACCCACAGTGAGGAGGTCTGACCTACAGTGTGAGGTCTGACCTACAGTGAGGAGGTCTGACCCACAGTGAGGAGGTCTGACCCACAGTGTGAGGTCTGACCCACAGTGAGGAGGTCTGACCCACAGTGAGGAGGTCTGACCCACAGTGAGGAGGTCTGACCTACAGTGTGAGGTCTGACCTACAGTGAGGAGGTCTGACCCACAGTGAGGAGGTCTGACCCACAGTGAGGAGGTCTGACCCACAGTGTGAGGTCTGACCCACAGTGAGGAGGTCTGACCCACAGTGAGGAGGTCTGACCCACAGTGAGGAGGTCTGACCCACAGTGAGGAGGTCTGACCCACAGTGAGGAGGTCTGACCCACAGTGAGGAGGTCTGACCTACAGTGAGGAGGTCTGACCCACAGTGAGGAGGTCTGACCCACAGTGAGGAGGTCTGACCCACAGTGAGGAGGTCTGACCCACAGTGAGGAGGTCTGACCTACAGTGAGGAGGTCTGACCTACAGTGTGAGGTCTGACCTACAGTGAGGAGGTCTGACCCACAGTGAGGAGGTCTGACCCACAGTGAGGAGGTCTGACCCACAGTGAGGAGGTCTGACCCACAGTGAGGAGGTCTGACCTACAGTGTGAGGTCTGACCTACAGTGAGGAGGTCTGACCCACAGTGAGGAGGTCTGACCCACAGTGAGGAGGTCTGACCCACAGTGTGAGGTCTGACCCACAGTGAGGAGGTCTGACCCACAGTGAGGAGGTCTGACCCACAGTGAGGAGGTCTGACCCACAGTGAGGAGGTCTGACCCACAGTGAGGAGGTCTGACCCACAGTGAGGAGGTCTGACCTACAGTGAGGAGGTCTGACCCACAGTGAGGAGGTCTGACCCACAGTGAGGAGGTCTGACCCACAGTGAGGAGGTCTGACCCACAGTGTGAGGTCTGACCCACAGTGAGGAGGTCTGACCCACAGTGAGGAGGTCTGACCCACAGTGAGGAGGTCTGACCCACAGTGAGGAGGTCTGACCCACAGTGAGGAGGTCTGACCCACAGTGAGGAGGTCTGACCTACAGTGAGGAGGTCTGACCCACAGTGAGGAGGTCTGACCCACAGTGAGGAGGTCTGACCCACAGTGAGGAGGTCTGACCCACAGTGAGGAGGTCTGACCTACAGTGAGGAGGTCTGACCCACAGTGAGGAGGTCTGACCTACAGTGAGGAGGTCTGACCCACAGTGTGAGGAGGTCTGACTCACAGTGTGAGGAGGTCTGACCCACAGAGTGAGGAGGTCTGACTCACAGAGAGGAGGTCTGACCTACAGAGTGAGGAGGTCTGACTCACAGAGAGGAGGTCTGACCTACAGTGTGAGGAGGTCTGACCTACAGTGAGCAGGTCTGACTCACAGTGAGGAGGTCTGACTCACAGTGAGGAGGTCTGACCTACAGAGTGAGGAGGTCTGACTCAGAGAGGAGGTCTGACCTACAGTGTGAGGAGGTCTGACCCACAGTGAGGAGGTCTGACTCACAGAGAGGAGGTCTGACCCACAGAGAGGAGGTCTGACCCACAGAGTGAGGAGGTCTGACTCAGAGAGGAGGTCTGACCTACAGTGTGAGGAGGTCTGACCCACAGTGAGGAGGTCTGACTCACAGAGAGGAGGTCTGACCCACAGAGTGAGGAGGTCTGACTCAGAGAGGAGGTCTGACTCACAGTGTGAGGAGGTCTGACTCACAGAGAGGAGGTCTGACCTACAGTGTGAGGAGGTCTGACCTACAGTGTGAGGTCTGACCCACAGTGTGAGGAGGTCTGACCTACAGTGTGAGGAGGTCTGACCCACAGTGTGAGGAGGTCTGACTC